ACTTTCCCAGGATGTGGCATGTTTCTGCAGGTTTCTTGGTGCGGGCTTCAGGGCCTTAGATTGAAGTAAGCACGAATTGCATCCTCTTCTGCTCTCTCAGCTCAGCACCGGCCTGTCAGCCCATCTCGCAGAAATTGCCCACTAGGGCAGATGCAGTCACCGATCAGGATGGCTCCCTGGCCAGCTTCCGTGCTGTGTTCGACCCAAGACGCAGCCAGGAAGCGCTCGCCGCACGATTCACACGACCACGCCTACAAGATCCTACAAGCGACAAAAAGGCGAAGCCTTCCGGCCGGCCCTGCACCATCCGAACCCTTGCGGCATCCTGGCCTGGAACGCAGTCGTCTTCCCGTCCGGGCACTCAACGCACCTGCGTTCAAAGTTCATGGCAGGTGGTGACCCTCAGAAACTCCAACCAAAGTCTGCCCCAACAGGGTGCCGAAGCGCTGCTGCTCCGAAGAGCGATAGCTCCCGGCTCGGCAGCGGCGGCAGGCCGTGGAGCCCATCTGTGGAAAGAGGCTTCAGTGTTAAGTTTCCCGTCTACGAGTCAGACTCTGGGAAGCCCATCTCAAAGTAACACGGGGCGCCTGTCTGTGGGTTTGGAGGCCTGGGGCTGGGCTTCTGCACTCAAAGAGCCCTCCCGAAGCCGAAGTCACGCACGTCCCTTCATTAGAGGGCTTCAGATATAAAATTAGGCCGCCCCCAACTCCACCTGCGTCGTGGTGAAGCCTTCTCCACAATAGCCTGGACGGGACTCGCTTAGCTCTGACGGAACCACTGGAGATACTCGGGTTTCCCGACTTAGGAGCTGCTAAGGGTACCCCAAAGTCACCCCCCCCACCCGGTCGTGCAAGCAGAGCGGCTGCAGGTTGCGGACCCGGGAACTGGAGCGATCTCGTTCAGAGGACAATCGAAACACCTCGGCTAAGTGAGGGGGGCTCCTTTTCAGGATTCCTGTACATGGCTCGTAGTGCAATGTCCCATGTGCATCACCCAATAGCATGTTGAAAACGAACATCTCAGGCATTTAGGCACAAGTATAGAGGAGCTGCAGTTACACCACTAAGCGACCCGAACCCAACCAAAATCCCACAAAAACAGAGCAGTGCCAGCCGGGGGCTGCGTGGAGCCCTCGGGCGCGAAGGACCCGGGGCTGCAGAAGTTGCAGCTGGCCTCGTTGAAGAGGCGAAGCTTAAAGGTTTAATACAACTAATTCTGAAGCCCTACATAAAGCCGACCTGCAGCCCCAAACCCCACAGAACAGTAGGGTACGACCACGACTAAGTATAACCCCGAAGACAGCAGTAGCCTGTTGGATCTCCAGATAAACTCTGAATCACCAACCCTGAACCCGAACACCCGCAAAAAGCTCTCAAACCCCTGTTGCCCAGCGTTGTTTTGGGCCTGCGCAGACTGATTGTTGAACTTCCCCGCTATGCAAGGCGAGCAGAAGGCCGCAGCCGCTTCGCCCTTGTAGAACCTCAGATGTAGGGATTTGGGGATCTATGGGGACAACGGAACGACTTGCTGCAAAGCAAAGCAAAGCCTTGTGTCGCCGCCCTGCAAGAAACAGCTTATTGGCGGTAGGCTGCACAAACGCATGAAGACGGGCTTGACATTCAGTCGGCCTTTCGGTGGGAAAGGCAAAAATTAAACACGGTAAGGGTGCAGGCCTTTCGAATTCGTCTCACTCAACAAGAAAAACGTGCATCCACCCGGTGTGCGACTGCGGCAGCCCCCTGCAAAGATATCAGAAGTCTTTTTGGGCAGGTGGCCCGGGACTGCAGGCACGGCAGGAGGTTCCGTTCACGGCCTCGTAGCCGAGGTCGCAGAGGCTGCAGGAGCTTTGGCCCACCTGGAGGGGGGGCGTAGGCGTGGCAGAACCCTGGGAGGGCCGAGTCGGAGAAGGTGCCTGGTCCGTGTAGCGGCCCGACTCGCAGCTCGCGCAGGCTGTCGGAGTGTCGAGGAACTTGAATCTGCCAAGGGGGCAGGCGCTGCACGTGTAGTTGATCTTGTTGTTGCCAAACCTGGGAAAGGGCTTCTGCAGCTTAGGGTCAAAACAAGACTTTTCTCTTTAGTTTCCTTGTGGCATTCAGGGTCCATGGGGTTTAAGTGGTCGTCTTCCGGAGGGTCTTGACGCAGATTTGCTTTGCAGCGTCTCTTTCACAGCTTCCTTTTGGCCAAAGTGCCGGTTGACGTAGGGGACCGCACTCAGCTCTGCTCCGACGGGGCAGCTGGAGGGAGCTATGGACACGTAGTCCGCCTCTTCGTTTCCGCGCTCGTCGATCCTTTCATCAGGTCTTGGAACACAGGGCCGGCCTTTTTTACAAAAAGCCCGGGAAGAGCCCCTAACTCGAGCCCCTGAAGAGCCCCTCGACACCCCCTTTTCCAAGACTCCTGATCTTCATCTTGGCCAGCAAGGCGGCATTCACTGCGACGTAGCCCACCGAGGCCACCAGGGACTGACCCGCAGAACTGAAGCCGAAGCTCAGGAAAGGGTGGACTCGGTCCCAGGCCTTTCAAAGCTCATAGCTTCTACACTACTCCCTGGGCCTCAGTAAGGGACTGAAAACAAAAGCGGTCATGCCATGGAGATCCAAGGGACCTCGTTGTCGACGTTCATAAACAGGCGACGCTTATAGATGCTGTACGAGCCGTCGGTTATGGTGTAGGTCGAAGGTTCGACCTTCGCATCGGCTGTGTCCTGCTTTCAGCAGCAATCACCCCTCAAGAAAGAAGACCGTGACCTCCCTGACAGCACAATCCGAATCCATTATGCTCGCATCTCGCAGCACGCAGATGCATGGACACAAGGTCCCACTTACTTGAGTTTGAGCGGCGCAGCACTCAACACTGGCACGAACCGGATAAAAGAATGGCACACGCTCATTCATCGACATGCGCCCTGCTCACAGGCCGTGGATCTCTGCCTGTCTGAGAGAGTTGCCCCCTCTTTCTTGGTCAATGCATCGGCAAGGCATCGGGATTGCTTTAGCAGTCGACTTGCGTACTTTGGCACGCGAACCAGAAACAGTCAATATGCAAAACATCCATCTGCGAGTATGGGCTCAGTGACTCCAAAAAGCTTTCGAACTGCCTTCGCAGCACAAGACCGCGATGCACGAGGCTGCAAAGTACTTCGGAAGGCACGAGTTCCTGCGTCCCAAAGCAACTTACGTTCCCACGCGGGGCACAGTGTCGGGAGCTGACGATACGGCTGGCATGCGAGGAGGGCAAAAGCTGCAGACAGGACCCGTGACGGTCAGACTCCGGAGCATTGTAACAATGCGAACCTCGCTTATCAGAAAATCTGCTTCAGCGATAAACACAACCAAAAAACATACTTCAGTCAAGCAAAGAGGAGTCCTTAACGCCTTTGTATTTGTCACTGGCGATTCGGGCCACGGTCAGCTGGTTGGCATACTGGGCATAGTAGGCGTAGCCGAAATAAGCGATTCCTCCGATGTCCTGACACGGCAGAGGCCCGCATAGCGCTTTCGAATTCAAGAGTTTACCAATAGATCCAAGGATCGGCGGAAAGCCATTGCAGGAGCTGATAGTCGGACTCTGAGTGCATGTAGCAGTTCTGAGGCCTCTGAGACCGCTTTCAAAGCGCGAATCTTAGGATCAGCTGCTTTAGGTCCTGGGCAAGCCCCAACTTGCCAGAGGCAGGGAGGCAAGTGACCAACATCCCTGTCCCCGGAAAACCAACACCATCCTCTGCAACTGCACTCTCACTCAGACGCGAGCAGCAGTCGGAGTCAATGTGCTGTCTTGCATCAAGACTCTACAGACCTGGTTCACTACATTGATAAGTCGTGAAACAAGTCCAACGGCAGGGGCCCCCTCAAGGAGGCCTCTGGTTTTGGATGAAGTCGGCGATGTCCGGCTCCGTGCTGAGCTGCTCCAGGGCGCTGTGCTTGTCCGAGGGGCAGTACGGGAAGCCCTCGGGATCGTAGCCGTCCTCCCTGGGCGGGGCTCCAGACCCGAAAGAGGGGAACACCGGTGTCGGAAGATCTGCTGCCGAGGCTCCCCGCGAAGCAGTCCTCGCAGAGCGTGGCCTCTGCGAAGAAGTCGTAGGTCCCGGAGTCGGACCCTGGCCCGTAGATGTTGATCGGCACCTCGCCAATGGCACCCCACCCAGAACTGCAGCAAAGGACGCCCGACAAAGCAGAGCGTGCCTCTGGGCAGGCCGAAGACAGGTCGCTCCACTCCTGCACACACCGTCGGTCCGACACAAAGCGCCTGCTCCGAGCACGGAAGACGGAAGTCCTTGATGCCGTCCGCGTCATCGTTGGGGATCACGGAGGCCAAATCCACGCCGTAGCTCTCCAGCTGCTCGTTGCTCCTGCGAGGCGTGCGGGCCGGGGTGGCGGGAGGCCCCTGCACCGTTTGCTCGCGCTGCCGCCGAGGCGCCAGTCCGTGAACATCCAGTGGAGCATGGCCAACGTCAGGCCGCCCACCTCCGCCGACGTCAGGCAGTCGTGCGCCCGGCCGCCCCTGATGGTGGCGGACAGTGGGACGAAGGCTTGGCCGTTGGCTTCGGACGTTTCTGTTTTCCATGCCAAGGCTCTTCGAGACGACCACGGCCAAGCCGTCGGTGCCGACTTGGATCTGCGTGACGCGGATCTTCGAGCTGCTGCATTCCCACCTAAAAGGCCAGGCTATGCGGGGTGCAAGGCGTCCTGGTTCTTTGTTCCTTCCGCTGGCACACAAGTCTTGCGGAAGCTAGGGGCTGAACAGAATTGTCATTTATCTTGACGAGATCTAACAGCTGACTACTGACCTGACCTGTGGATTTCGACAAAAGGAGTCGCAAGATGAGGATGACTGCTGCAAACTGCTATGGGGCTGGGCCGCTCATAGTGCCTGGTGCTGCCTTGATTCGAGCCATTTAAGGTCCCTCAGGACCGCAAATCAAAGCCTTTCTCATGTCAAACTCAGTTCGGCTTATCACAAACATAAATGTTCGCCGAGCCCACGTATAGTCATCGTCCAGGAGGAGGGCTTCGCTACTTTTCCAGTTGCGCGACATGTCGCCGATGTCAACCTGATGCAAGACGATCTGCGTACAGCGGGGAAACCCAGATCGCCGAACATTCGCTACATCAAGGCGAGGAATGGCCACCCTTTCGTCGAAGTCAAATGTCGCTACAACGGCCTCCACCTGGCATACATCGCTGAGTTCCCTGGGTCGTCATGAGCCGAGCTGCGTGGTCAGGATCCGTACGATCCTTGCAGACCCGCCATGCGCCAGAGCTGGAGCCACCGCCTCAGATTTTGCATAAAGCTTCCCAAAATGGGCCAAAGCACACGACGGAAAGGTCTGCAGCAAAAGGGTCGACCCGATTTCGACATGGTTTGTCAGTTCTCATGAATTGAATCCATGCCGCCTTCGATGGTTATCGCAAAGTTGCTGGCGTTCTCGATGCCGTTCGCCCACGCGTTTGCAACCGGGAACACTGTGGAGGATCCCGCGACCTGTGCAAGGAGGGCTGGGAATGGGACAAGCTGATGAACACTTAGGAACTTTAGGTCCTTTAGGTTTAACGGTTCTAACGTTTCCCACCCTGCGCCGCTGCGCAGATGCTTGTGCCTTGATCTCGGTGCAAGACACGCACTGCAAAGCCGTAGCGATTCCGAGCCAATGCCGCATCCGCCACATGGCCACTAGAGGCTTATAAAAAACTTCGGACCTTGGTCTTGAGCCCAGAAACTTGCGACCTCGTTATCGCCACTAGTCGCTGCAATGCCGAGGAGACGACAAGCCTTAAATAACACATTAGCGCCGAGATTGCGCAGTTGGAACGGTGGGCTTCAAGGCTGGGAGTTTTGCGCTAGAAGGACACCAGACCAGTGACCAGTACGCCGCCGATTATGCCGGCGGTCCTTCGCATCTAACGCTCAAAGCAGAGCACCTCGCGACGATCTTTGCCATTGAGAAGTGGATCAATTAACAAGTGAGCCGTGGGTAAACATAGGTTCCCCGGGGCCACTGGACAAGGAAAGCCCGGTCATTCACGGACCTGGAAAATCCAGCCAAAGGCGCGGTCAGTTAAAGGGGGTAGTGGCTTTGGACCCTCCCCCAACGCCCCTTTCTGCCTGTGCCTCTCGCCCACGGGCCAACACTCGAGCCCCTAAATAGCCTGAGCAGACGAGCCCTGTAGAAGGACGCGAGGAGCAAAAGCGAGAACAGAGCAGGAAGTGGAAAAGAGAACCGAAGGAAAAAGAACAATGGAAGCAACACGCGAACGAAAGCAGCGGGAAGGCTGCAGGCCGGGGGGGGGGGCAGGTCCCCTTTGACCTCTGCTGGTGCCCCCCGCAGGGCTGCCGGTCGCACTGCCGGTACTGCACTTGCATTCGCGGGCAAAGCCCAGGAGCGCACCTACCCTAAGCTCTGACAGTCTGCCCGATGCAAGCTTGTCGTCCTTGCTCTCGAGTCCGGCGGCCGCTGGAGCACTGAAGCTGCCACCTTTGTCAAACTTCTTGCACGCCTCCGGACGAGGGCCGTGCCGGCTTCCTCCCGCAGTCCCAGCATCTCGGCCTTTGCCGCTCCCCTTGCTCCCCTTCCTTCTGCCCCACTTCCTTCTTCTATTTGTCCATCTTTTACCAGTTTACCACTTTTCGATCTTCCCCCGCCACTTTTCCATCTTCCCGCCTTTTCCATCTTCCCGCTGCTTTCGCTCGCGTGTTTTTTCCATTGCTCTTCTCCTTCGGATCTCCTTTCACCTTCCTGCCCTGTTCTCACTTTGCGTGCTCCTTCTGTGCCTGCTGCTGCTGCTTGCGGCACTACTGGAGCCGCCAGCCGAGGCGGGCCGCGTGGCGTTAGAATCAACGAATGAACCAATGAATACAATAATGAATGAGTAAGTGAGTCAGCGAGCGAGTTAGCGAGTGAGTGAATGCATGCATGAAAACATGAATGAATGCATGAACGATTGCATGAAGCAATGCATGAAGCAATGCATGAATGAATGAGCGAATGAACGAACGAACGAATGAACGAACGAACGAATGAATGAGCGAATGAAAAAACTCGTTCTCTAGTTGCTGAGCGTGCGGAGCCCTTTTCTTCCGACCTATTTGCACTGTGCGTGCAGGGCGCATTTGTTGTGCACGCCCAATATGCACGTGCTCACTCACTCGCCCACTCGCTTAGCTAAGTTCGCCGCAATTCGCACGATCAATCCCTGTGGGGCTCTTTGGCACAGGCCACGCCGTGATTCAAATAGGCGTTGCGCAGCCTTGGAAAGTCATCAGACGAGTGGGTTGGGAGCATTGGCCAGGGGAAAGGGCCAGGGCATCGCCTGGAGCTGTTGAGGCAACAAAGCCTAGCTCAACATATCCACCTTGCAATGTCCGGGGCTCGGACAAGAAAAGAACAACAGGAAGCGCAGCAAGATGGCAAAAAGAACTGAATCAGTGATCTGCATGAGCCAAGTCAAAGCTTCAACATGCAATGCAGTCCTGCAAACAAAGATTGCGGTACAGAACAAAAGTTCAAGATCCAAGAGTTGTGCAAGACGTGACGAGACTGAGACTCTCTGAGAAGGGAACACGCGAGAGCCGACTCCAGCAGCTGCTACATGGTTTTGTGATTTGCGCTGCTGCAAGATCTAACGAGCGGGGGCCACGAGAGTCTGCAGCAAACAAACAAAGATTGCGGTACAGAACAAAAGTTCAAGATCCAAGAGTTGTGCAAGACGTGACGAGACTGAGACTCTCTGAGAAGGGAACACGCGAGAGCCGACTCCAGCAGCTGCTACATGGTTTTGTGATTTGCGCTGCTGCAAGATCTAACGAGTGCGGGCCACGCGAGTCTCGTTGCTGGGGGCTTGTCACACAACGGTCTAAGTCCAAACTGGAACGGTAGTGTTTGCGCTAGAAGGACACCAGACTACGCCTCCGATTTTACCGGCGGTCCTTCGCATCTAACGCTCAAAGCACAGCACCTCGCGACGATGCGAGTCCCTTCGGGACTCGGATTGACATTGAGAAGTGGATCAATTAACAAGTGAGCCGTGGGTAAACAGAGGTTCCCCGGGGCCACTGGACAAGGAAAGGCCGGTCATTCACGGACCTGGAAAATCCAGCCAAAGGCGCGGTCAGTTAAAGGGGGTAGTGGCTTTGGACCCTCCCCCAAAGCCCTTTTCTCGCGGTGCCTTTCGCTCGTTCAACGGGCCGGGCATTCACCGGAGAGCAAGAGCAGGAACTAAACACTGGCAGACTGCATCTTCTCATGGAAGCGCTTGGTCACTACTTCCTCGGCTGTGGCATTCAAGCCCGATGGCTGTGGGCCCCATGTGAAGTGAACAAGCAAAGAGCGGAGCTAATTTCGAACCCGAGCCACAGACGGGTTCGGTGGTGCGGGACTCGTGGCAGACTCTGCAGACGCCAAATCGCTCTCGGCAGTTTCGGTCTTCACCGCCTTTCCGGCAGTCGCCTCCCCGAAAAGTCTCAGAAAACTTGTGGCCTTTGGTCCGGTTCCGGGGGGCACTTGCCTCCTCGGCTTCCTCGGTCTGCTCGGCCTCGAGCTCCTCGAGGAGCTTCTGCACGTCGGCCTCCGTGTAAACAGGAAGCCGAAGCTTCGATTTTCGAAACTCCGAGGGTTTGGAGTTTAGGGCTTTGGGTTTTGGGTTTAGGCTTTTGGGTTTAGGGTGTTGGGTTTAAGGTTTAGGGCTTTGGGTTTAAGGGCTCCGCGCCTGGGAAGGCAGGTCCGCGGCGGTCGGGCTCGGCTTCCCACCGGACAGCGCCGACTGGGAGGTGGTGACCTCGGTTTAAGGCGAATGCCCCTGCCCTATCGCGAGCCCCAGGAAAGTTTGCTGCAGGATAGTTCCGTGTCCGTCTGCAACCTCTGGAAGTCCAAGTAAAAAAGGATCGACGGCATCAGAAACTGAGTGGCAGAGACGCTGAGACGCCTCATCAGCCGGAGTCGCCTGTCATTCCTCGGCTTCTGTCTCGGCTTTGGAGTACAGGGCTTGTCTCTGGGACTCTGCATCTCGTCGTCTTCCTTCAGACCGTTGCCGCAGAATTCTTCCTCTTCAGATACTTCTAGCATCAAGCTTTAGCACTCTCAAGATCTGCCTGTAGAATCCATGTCTATACCTATAGCCTATCCCGGCTACCTCTTATCACACCCGAACCTTGCAAGCAAGGAATAGAAGATCCTGTCTCCCCCTCGTCTCAAGCTTCGAAAAGTAGGGTGCCAAGGTGGTCAGAACGGTCGCGAGCATCCGCCTCCCGACTTGCACCGGATCTGTCTTGCACCGTGCTGCCGACTTTCGATCATCCCTCCGGTGTAGCTGTTGCCCGATCAGGCAAGCGGCTTGTGTCAGCACTTCGGAGACTCGCTGGCGAGAGTTTCAAAGGGTGCAGAATGCAAAGACGCCAAAGTCTTAACGAACCCTTCTCCTTACCGAAGCACGAACACGACCTGCAACCTACACCTCAATGGCGAGACACCCCACGCGCCTGTCGTAGACGCTGAGGTCCTGCATCGGAAGCAGCAAGTGCCAAGGCCGAATCCCCTTCGGCCTCGGTTTTGGGTCTACCCCGACCCGGCGCTCCTCGATGGCCATCTCGATGGTTCCCACGGCGGCCTCCTGCAAAGCGCCATCCCGCCTATGCCTAAGGGCCTAGGCCTAAGCCCTCTGAACCCCAAAAACATCCCAACCAAATCCCAATCCCCCCCCGAGAGCCTGACTTTACTTGTCTCTGGTCCCTCCCTGGAGCGGCCCTGCACGAGAGAGGCTCCTCGTAGGCAGCGTGCAAGGAATCCAGGGCCTCGCAGCTCTCAGCGCTTTGCTGCTGATGGGAAGAATCGAGATCCGCAGGACTGAGTCCCCAAACAAGGACCAGGGAGTCTCACGAGAGGATGAAAGTTGACTTGATTGGGGCCGGCCTGTCGCAGCTCCGTGTTGCTCGGAGGACGACCCAGGGTCCTGAAGCAGAGGCATGCTCTTCTCTGCTCGTTGGCTTGAGTTTAGGGTGTTCTCTTGGACCAGGGAGCAGAATCGGAAGCTCACTGGCGGAGCCCATGGCGGTCTTGTGGAGCAACGCAACGGCCACGAGGCACCTCAGATATCGTACCCTTCCGTAAGCCATGCAGGCCGAGAGTGACCGCAGCTTGGGCACAGGAGGACGAAGGCAATGAAGTAGAGGATGCCCAGGACCTGTGGACCCGCTCCCCTTGTAAAGACCTCTCCTGCCTGAGTCCTGAACCGACCGGAACCGAATGCTGAAACACTCTAAATGCTGATCTCGAGGGGCTGCCACGGCGAGACTGGAAGCGGCCGCCCTCGCCTCCCCCTCCAAGCTGTCCTTGGTTGAACTTCCTTGTCTTCGGAGCCCCGCCCCACCAGCAAGAAAAAACGCCTAAGCTTGACGAGTCCAGCGTCCAGGAAGGATGCCCCGACGGCGAGAAGCAGGATGAACCTTAGAGAAGCCCCTTGACCAACAAACCGCTGGAGGTGGCGTAAGCCCGAGCAAGCTGAGCCGTGGGCATCATGCTCATGGCTCCATCCGCCAGGTTGATCAAAGGCGTCTTCCAGGGCCATGTCGTGAGCTGCATGACCATGTAAGTGACCTCTTCCAGGAGCCACATAGAGAAAGAGATTAGCGAAAACGTGAGCTTTGAAGTCAGCTACTTGCTGCAATGCATCCGAGTCAAATCTTGTACTGCGATAGAAGGCTTCTGCCGGTATGGTACCTAACCTAGGCTGGGCCTACAGGGCCCATGCCACTACAGACCCCTTCCACCCTGGCACTGCCTGTCCTCCCGGTCTTATGGACCAAGCGGCCAGCACAGCCGTCATCACGAAGAGCTGCACCTGAAAGCCCACAGGTCCTGCCTCCCTAAGCCCTGCTATCTCGCATCTCGCTTGGCTTGAAATCCCACCTGGAAAGCTCAAAAGCACACACCGCCACCGCTTACTGGAGGGCTCTGCTTCTCAAGAGCGCAGGAATGTGCAGGAGCTTATGACCTCTGGATTATACCCCCCCTTCGCCTGAGGCAAATCTGTGAAGATGACCACCGGCAGCGATAGGAGCGGACCTAGAAGAGAACGCTGCTTTTGCCACTGTCGCGGGGCTGCTCACTGATTCTGAACAGAAAACACAAGACTCTGCACACCCCATGTTGGACTGCCGTGTGGGTGTGGAAGCAGCGACAAGGCCTGCAATTTGGAGGCCCGCCCATTGAGGGGAAGCCTACCACCTTTCGGGGATAGAACATAAAACCAGGACTTTGGGGATCTTTGCTGCAGGAAGAGGGGTGAGAGGGGTGACGGCCAATTTAGTGCTAAACTCATCTGAATACATTTGAAGATCCGCTCATTGTGCAGCGTCGGAACCTCGCAGAATGAACCAGGTTCCGTACCACCAGTAGTCTGTCCTGAGAGCTAGGGAACTTAAGGATCGAGCCTGCACAGACATGAGGCAGGGCTGTTTTCCGGGCAAATATAGGAAATTGACACATAAGAAGATGTTTGATGTTGTGCATTTTCGGCTTTATCTTTTTCCTGTGAGACAGAACATCCAGGAATCCATGTCTGCAGATAACATCCGTGTTACCAGCGCATACCTCGGGACCGAGCATCGATGCCAGGAGGATACTGACCTTCATGTTTCCAGTTTCGAAAACTTTGGGACCGAGCCGACGTGAAACAGTCAGCTGCCCACCGTTTTCCTTCGCTTTGAGTTTTACGAACTTCTCTAGAGAAGTAGTGAAACGATCAGAGGACGCACTTAGTAAGGAGATGTAAGGAGCAAGTTTAAGGCTGCGCAGCAAAGAGCCCTCTTGTGTTCCGAGCATCCTAGTCGGGCTGCTCTTTTTTCCACGCCCTTACAACCAACTCAGCAAGTCCCTTGACCCTTTGACCAATCCCCAAAACCTACAATCTAAATCCCTGAGCCGCACACCGTACGCACTTCTCCTCGGTTTTGGACAGTCCCCCGTACCACTTACCCCGAAAGTCGCCGGTCCTGAAGCGGAAGAACAGGAAGCGTGTGGCCAACAGGAAGAAATGGTCGCCATTGGCGGACCTGTCAAAGGGGAGATCTCCAGGGCTGACGGGACAGGCCGCTGTCGGGCCCAGGCATTGACAACAACCCCGACGTACCAAGACCAAGACCCTATAGAAGAAAATCAAACATCGCAGCCATAAGTCGCAGGTCCCTGCGACTTCGTAGAGCGCTCACCTCTTCGGTGCTTCGAGGGTGACCCACACCAAAATGCTCCAGTAGAGGATCATCATCCTAGGCGAGCAGCCGGCAGAAACGTCCATAGGTGGTGAAACCTTCACGACGCGAAGTCAGGTTAGCAGCGTGGTCATGAAGATGCCAAAGATGACCATGGTCGTATGACCCGATTGCTCCTCTCACGCTGACACTTCAGCACCGACCCACCTGGCACACCATGAACCCGACCACAGCCACGAACCGACCCCTGTCGCTTAGGGCTTTACGCGGCACGACCCTCCTCCCAGCAGATCACGTCGCTGAATCGAAGAACGCTGCTCTTCCTGACAATTGAGGCAACTTCCCTAACGCCAGTGTGTATGCAGTTGTACGCATGTGTGTTATGTGTACATGCATATATAAACGCACCTACATAGGGTTTCTGTTGTTAACATGCCCATGTACAACTTTCATTATCAAGACAGAGATAAAAGCATCTTAGTCGCTAAGGGAAGTCGGCGGACTACACCTTACTCAGCCTTACTCAGATCCGAAGGTTCCGAAGAACCGCCGAGCAACCCGTTCGGGTGAGAGTAGCACATGAACCTCAGTTCAAAGCGAATTTCTGGTGAGAAACAGACTCACCTCAGACTCAAACAGAGCCATCTTGCGAGGTCCCAGGAACGGCATCAGCGAAGTCTTCGCGATAATCGTGAAGCCAATCCTCGGATGCACGGAACTTCTTCAGTGGTCCACGGGTCCTCGAGCATTCGGGGGCCGGTGCCATTCCGCGCCATTCCATGCGAGCTGCTGGAAGAGTTGGCCCAAAGTGCTCAGGGCCTTGGCTCTCACGAAGCGCATCTTCCGCGGCCCCAGCCTCGGCGAGCTTGGGACGGCCATCCATGACACTCAGACTCATATTATGACTCGTGACCCCCTCCAGCTCCTGAAATCTGTGGAGTCTCGCAGGCGACAGGACTCTGCACACATCAGAAAGCGGGGCAAACGCAATGGTTGCGCAAAACGGCCCCAAAGACCAGAAGACTCAGTAAGCTGCACGTGCACTGCAGTGCAGCTTAAGGTGCTTCGACAGAAGGCCGCAGACCACGAGCCAAATCAATACTGCCGGCCAAACCATGACACCTAGATGCATCGGCGAAGATGCACCACACATCCAGTGCACTCAGGTGCTTTGCTAAGTTGCGGTTGCAGTGATACGAACTGCCCCTGAGGAAGCTGCTGATCCCGTATCGCGTCGCGGAGGCCGTGCCCACGCAGTCGAAGTTCAGGCTCTCAAGATCCTCCCAATACCACGAAGCAAGCAAGCACCTACTTCCCACAGAAAATGTGACAAGAGCTACGCCTCAGGCTTTCAGTCAACCCACCAGAGAAGGTTGAACGTCGCCCTCGGAGAACATCCCCAAGAGGAAACCGAAATAAACGGGGCAGTGCATACAGCCACCAAAAACCCGAAGGCCATGAAACTAACCTCACTCGAGACGACAATGTCTGTCTCCGATGCGATGCTGCCCCTGCTCTAAAGGGACCCCACGATTGCACAGCTCTGCCACAGGCCCGAAATCGTAAAATCCTAAAGTCAAAACCTTAAGGTGTGGAGGCGACCCAGGATTTTTGAAACACTCAAACTCCCTCTCACTGGGGGGATCCAGCATGAAGATCGACACGAAGTCCAGGAAAGGCTGCATATACGAGGGCCAACTCCTTCGTTGCTCTTTTCTTCTCGCATTCAAGGGCTTTCAGTGTTCCTGATTATCGGTGCAGTTCAGGGAAACAGTTTAGCAACTTTGGGGTTTAGAGCTGAGGACGTTCAGGAGTTGTGGGGTCTTGGGGGCCACTTGGGCACGCTTTTGCCGGCAGCCTTCAGCACAGGACTCTCTACTTCTGCTGCATCGGCGTGCGTCCCCGATCCCGACGGTCGTGGGAATTCGGGAACAGATGGGACCTTGTGTCGCATCCTTCTCGGGCTTCGCTTTCCGAACTTTCGCGAAGAAAAAGGTCAGCAGACGCAGACATCATGTAGCATCGGTTGACAAGGATGCTTTCCAAATTGCGACACAGAATCTCACAGTGCATTATTCATCAAAGCCCTATCGTTTTCGTCCAGCCGAGATCGTGGATTCAAAGGACTGTTATGCTGATGGATGCTCGGATTCGCTGGGATTCTAGTGCTCTTGCTTGGTCTACGGCTTGATGAGAATATTCCGACTGATACAACCCGCACAAGTTTACAGGAATTATGTACAGTGCACACGAAACAAACAGCTAACTGTTATAATAGTCGGCGAACAGCTCAGGTTCCTTTGATATTACAAACGAACAAACGATATTGCATCACAACACGGCATTCACGAGCTCCGAAATTGCGTGAAGCCTAAAGTTGTGAGTTTACGTTGCAGGGCATCAATGTTTGTTTTGTGAGCTTCTTGTAAACATGCTTGTGATGACAGAAGTCTGTGCGAACGAGATCTACCTTGCGAAATCGGTAAGCAGGTCATCAAACCTAACATCTGGGGAGGCCTGAAGTACGTCGTGAGAAACGAGGGGGATGCTGGAACCTCACAAGAAACCCAATGCAAACCTTACAGCTTATGACACCTCGCAGCAGGCCCTGGGGGCGGAGCAGGGGGCCGTGGCAGGCGTCTCACAGCAAACCTCATAGCGAACCTCACAGGCCTTCCTTGATCACTCAGCCTCTCTTAGCAGGCACCTCATCAGCCATTCCACAGGATAGAAAATTAAAAAGTTAAAGCCCCAGAGCTTAAAGCCCTAAACCCTAAACCCTGAACCCCCAAGCCGCAAACCCCAAACGACGGTCCACCCATCTCCAGGCATCATGAGAAATACAAGCCCGAGCTGCAGGGAGACCAGGCCGACGAGACCGACTGTCTGCAGCAGGGTCCTGAAAGTAACATCGACACGAGAAGGGTACGTCGGAGGCCCCCTGAGCTCACGAACTCGAGTTTAAGGCTTTGCAGGGATCGGGATTCTTGAGGGCTTGTCGTCAGTTGCCAAGCGACAGCGTCATGCCAAAGGCCATCGTCGTGCTCAGCATTGTCGAGGCCTGGCTGACACGGTGTGCCAAAGCCGCCTTCCTTGCCCACTGAACAATCGAGCCTGCCTTGGATGTCATCGGGGAGTTCATAAAATAGTAGAACGTCGGGATTGCAATGGCCATGACAACCGCCCCCGCGGCGAAGAGCAGGCCGTCCTTGGAAGGTGAGACTTGAGGGAAGGTCGAAGGGCTTCTCCAAAAGCTCCGAGCCCGAGCGGCAGAGCCGCCGCATGGAATGCATTGGCCATCCTCGAACTTGCTGCCGGCCTTGGTCGGGGCTGTTTCTGGCCTGCAGAAACTCTCCGTGCCAACATCTGCACACGACTTCAAGCCACCGCCAGTGATTCCGAAGGGAAAACAAATCCGTTCTGTCCACCCAAAAAGACCCTACATGCTACACCCCGTCGAATCGGGCGACCATAAACCCACAGATCGGGCCGGTGACAACTGAAAGCTGGACATACAACGTCATATGTAGCAACGCAGATTTCGAGCTACCAGTGCTGACGCGCTCTACTTGTCACACTCCCACTCAGACACTCGCGCTAACGGGCCAAGGCGCCTCGCAGCGGCCGCACGGGATCCCGACCCGTCCCTGAGCGCAGGTGCCCGGCCGCCCACCTCGGTCGGAGGCTCTCGGGGCCGATACACCTTGGGGGGTTTAGGCCTGAGCCTAAGGAGGGATTTAGGGCTAGTTGCGACGTTTCGGCAGACCGCGGAAAGAGCGCAGAGCCGAGCTGAAGCCGAGCAGCCCGGGCAGTGCGAGGGAGCGCCGCACTTGTACGCCTGCGCGAGAGGAGAGAGATGGAGAGCTGATGGGGAGAGCTCAGATGGGAAGAAATGCGTGCGGCCACTTTGCGGGGGGGGGGGGGGGTGGTGGCTGAGGAAAACCGGGTCTATTTGGAAGCTACCGTTCGGTAAATATACTCACACAACGATTGAAGAAGCTCTTTGTTCTAGATTTCCAACGACATCTCCCCACATTTGAACGTCGCTGGCTTGCCATGTACCATCACTCAATAGAGTCATTCCGCTTGAAGTTCAAGGCTGGCCCACTGCTTTTGTGGTTAGGCATGTCTTTTCGGGTTTACGCGCCTCTGGCGCACTCTTTGCCGCCATGTCCACTCCTTTTGGGCTTCCTGGTTGTACCAAACTTCTCTCAGTCTTTGCGGTTCATGCATTCCTTGCAGGTTTCTGCCTTTTCGGCTTCAGGTTTTCCATTCATTTTCTCGTGACAATCAACCGCTCTTTTAGCGTTTTCATAGTCTCTTACCTGGGTTTTCGGTTCTGCACTTCATGATATCCGATTGGGTTTTTGTCCCACCATCCACTCCTACATCAGGTTCTGATATGGTTCGGGTTGTGGCAACCACCAGCCACTCAATTGAGGGTGTTGGGCTTATGGAAGCAACCAATCTGTGTTGAATTTTAGGTCAGCTCTGCTTGGGGTTGGTGACGCACTTACCACGCATCATTTCCTAGCTTGGTTCACCAGTGTGGCCCACCCCTTCTCGGGTCCACCTTTTTGATTTTTTGGCACCGCGCTTTCAATCTAAGCGGCTTAAAGGTTTCGGAACCAATCATTCCTTTTTGAAGCGTAGACTTTCATGTCTTGGCTTACCACCCATCTTCGCCTGTTGGCTTGGGATCTGGCCTCACATCTGAAAATGTATGTAACGTTACATACAGACCACCTATTCATTTGTAAATCTATCCGTCTACCTACCCTATCTATCTATCTATCTACCTATCTGCTTATCTTGTTGTCCATTTATTTATCTGTCTACCTAGTGCGTTTGAGGCTGGGGAATTCCGGAACGAATCCTTGCTTCTAAAGCTTAAGCTTTCAGCGCTTTGGGACTACCGCCAATTTTCTCTCCTCGACTTCGGATCTGGCTTCATTTTGGGTGCCAGCCTATTTTGCGTGCGAAACCGTTGGAAATTCTGGCGCGTATGCCGCGTATGTATATATGTATACCGCCACGTCATGGTCTCTTATCAACGTTTCGATTCTTCACTTCATGATATCCGATTGGGTTTTTGGGCCACCATCCACTCCTACATCAGGTTCTGATAAGGCTCGGATGGTAGAAACCAGCCACTCGATTGAGGGTGTTGGGCTTAGGGAAGCAACCAATCTGTGTTGGAATTTAGGTCAGCTCTACGTTCAGCAGCCTGCCATTTCTTGGTGGGTTTCGAACTTACCACTCATAATCTCCTAGCTTGGTTCACCAGTGTGGCCCACCCAGTCTCGGGTTTATCTTTTTGATTCTTTTGGCACCGTGCCTTCAATCTAAGCGGCTTAAGGTTTTCGGAACCAATCATTCCTTTTGAGGCGTAGACTTTCATGTCTTGGTTTACCACCCATCTTCGCCTGTTGGCTTGGGATCTGGCCTCACGCTTTCACTCCAATTACGGGGCACCGGCCGGGCTACCGTGCGTGCGATTCCGCGCAGCTCCATGCGCATCTGAACATGTATGTGCCATCACATACAGACCAATTACTTATTGGCGGACATATCCGTCTATCTATCCCTCTACCTTTTTGCTTGTCTTACTATCTAGCTATCTATCTATCATCTAACTATCTATCTATCTAGTGCCTTAAAGGCTAGTCGGTTAGCCACTCCTTCAGGGGTCCACGTTTTTAACACCCTTCAATCGTGGCGGTTTAGGGGTTTCCGGAACCAATCCTTCCTTCTGAAGCATAAGCTTTTAGCTCTTTGGGACTACCGCCAATCTTCTCTCGTTGACTTCGGATCTGGTTTCATGTTCGCAACAATTACGGGGTTCCAGCCTACTATACGTGCGAAACCGTGAGAAATACCGACGCATCTGCCTACGTCAGAACATGCATGTGTCACGATATGTGTATATGCATCGCTACGTACATATGTAGACGACACAGAGCTGTATCACAATACACAGCTGACATAATTATGTATGTACGCATGTATGTGTATATATGTATGTATGTGTATATATATATATATATATATATATGTTGGGCCGTCCGCGACACAGGTTTTCTAAACTCCTCATGTTGGGCCAGTACGGGGGGGTCACCATACTCTCCAGCCGTTGACTTTCCACGTTCGCAGCTTGGTTTTTCCACGCTTAACCGGCCGGTTTTCCACATCAAAGCGGCCGGTTTTCCACATCAAACCGGCATCTTTTCCACACCGATCCGCTCTGTTTTCCAAGCCAAAACCCCGCCAACTCGGCCCGTTTTCCATGCCGAAAGTGTAGCTTTTCAGCAGGAACAGGACCGATTTTCCACATCAAATCTGCCCGTCTTCCGCATCAAAACGACCGGGTTTCCACACCAAAGCCGGCGATGCTATGCACCAAAAGGGCTCTGCTCTCCATGCATGTTCACATGTATGAGGTACATGACATGTTTCGCACGCACAAAAGCCACAGCTTGACGAAAGTGATGCTTTGAATCCGAATCCAGCCACCATCACGGAAGACTTGATTGCGATGCCCAAGCCACGCATGACTTAACTTCGTGTGTCCCACGGTCCCCAACGGACAAATTGAGGCACGACTTCTTTTTTTGCATCCATGTCCATGCTGCTGGCAGCCTCTCGACTCTCGGCTCCTTATAATTACGACCCCTCACCAGTCGCCCCAGCGCAAGGATCCGAGTTTACAGATCAGCTCAAAGGCTTTGGGCTTTGGGTCTTCCAATATCGCTGAGATTGGGAATACATTGGTTTTCGACTCTTAGACTTTCACCTCGACTCATTTGTAAGAGTCAAGGAGTCAAGTCATGTCATGCAAGTCATGTAGGTTTACTTTGAAAGCACTTACTTGGGCTTACCGGGCTCAGGGCTCAGCTTGAGCAATCCGATCCAGTTCTTTCCACCACTCAAACCGGAACTGAAAACCATACTGGAAACTCTACGGTAGCTTAGCCGTTACGTGTACGTTGTGATTCATGCCTCACTGTTGAGAGTGGCTAAGGCGGATAACACTAAGACTAAGACTAAGACGACTAAAGTTTAAAAGTTTAAGAGCCCACGATGACTGAGACTATGACTAAAACTAAGACTAAGACTCGACTCACTAAGACTAAGACTAAGACAAGCTGATCTTCCTAGCCGCTGGCCGCTGAACAAGGGATACTTAAGTTACTTAGTTACTTCGCATCTGGGACTCACGATTGCGAGGAGCTCGGCTGTGACACGCCGGTTGCATTCACGGCTCTCAGCGTCAGCCGGACCTGAGCGAGCCCAGTATGAGGTTGACTTGACTCGAATATTCTACGAATAAGTGCAGTCTTAACCTGATAGAGCAGCGCCCTCCATGCATCTGATCTTTCTTACGCGGCCAAAGGACGACCCCACGGTTACTCACGGCCAATGTGAAGACTGCAGGTTCCAAAATTGCAAAGCACGCTCTGGCCTACGCTTCCCTTGTACTCTGTGCTGCTCGCAGCTTCTGTGCGGGCCAACTCAAACCCACTAGCTCTGTTAAACCGTTCTGTAACTTGTAAATTGCAGATGGCCAGACTCCTTTATTTTCGGCTAGTAGTGCCAGCCGAGCCGCTAGTCATGTCGCTTATCAGAATATTAACCAATCCGCACAGAAATGCAAGCCTTAGGCCAGAGCAACCTTCAAAGGATCTATCGCAGACTGCCAGCGGCTTGCAAGACCCGTGACATCAAAGCTTGAAAGCCTTGAAAGCTGAACAAAACCCATTTGAAATGCCAGGAAAACATGCAGCTGAGCTCCAAAAAAGCTCAACTCAGCGGATGCCCGACTCGACACGAGCCAACCGAGCCCCGCGACATGCCTGGCTGTTCAGACCAAGCTCACAGCTTGATCACTGATCACGGTCCAGTCCCAGCAGCAACCTTATTGAGCAGCAGGTCCAGATTCTTCTCTACGCTGATATTCTTCGACACGATCATCAATCGAGCACGCCTCGCAAGATGGCCACGTGTCTCGTCCTTGCGGAGCGGGCGGGTTAGCCCCTGCACAGCAGCCAGCTCGCAAATCAGGGTGCGAGCCGACGTGAACTTGGCTTCGTCGATGACGAGCGACGAAATGTCGTCCGGGATCAACTCGCTCAGCACTGTCAAAGCTTTGATGGATTCCGTCGCGGATTCCAACGACTTGACCCTTGACCTCCTGATGCAGCTGCTTCGTGTCCGCACTCTGCGCAATGGGCAAAAGTGAGTTCAAGGTTACCTGATCACAGCCCTGCTGCAAACTGCTGCGAACTGATGACAACTCTTGCTTGGCAAGGAGGGTGTCGATCTGCTGCTGCGCACGCGTCGTCTCCGCAAGGAGACTGCTGCACAAGCCTGACGCCAATTGCTTCATGGCCTTCACCGTTCCGCTTTCGAACTTCTGCATGACCATCATCTTCATGCCTTGCTGGGAGTCCGGCTCCTCGAACCCACGCAGGCTGCAAAGCACATCGTCGGCCGCCGTCTTCCTAGATTGAACTGATCGTATTGAACACGCCTTTTATTTTGCGATTACCACAATATCTTAGAAGCTGCCCTAGAAGCTGCCCCCACCCTGTAATAATGACTATAAGGATTATATTAATATTATATTAGGGCCCTATTATATTCCTCTTGTACCGCTATTACAGGGTGGGGGCAGCTTCTAAACAATATCACAATAAGTTACAATAAGCATAAGTTATTGTTCAAATTCTGCATTGAATGCCGGATGTTGGCTTCACTCGACTCGCATCATTAATCATTATTCGTTTCTGGAACCATGCTGTATATGCTATAGCTATAGTCTAGACTAAAGACTAGAGTGACTAGAGTCCTAGAGTCTAGAGTCTTATAAGATTCTTGAGTCTCAAAGGTATAATCTAGAATCTAGAATCTAGAGTCTAGAGAGTTCCTATGGAACCATACTAAAGATCCCGCAAAAAATGACGAATAGAATGGGCTCTCGAAACACAGACGAGAGAGTACTATAGAGACAAGTGACAAGCAACAATGACAATATTGTTGAATTACGTTATTTTGTGATGCAAACGACAAAGCATGAATAATTATATAACTTATGATAGAAACAGAATATATACTGACTACTCGAACTTATCGGTATGGCAACCGAAGCAACCTTGGGACCCTGGACCTTGCAACAGCTCGATGCAGCATGAGGCACGCTTTCAAGATGGCCGTGGCAAACTCCTCATAGATGTCCTCCTCATCCCTCTCCGCATCGGGACTGATGATGGAGTCTTTCTTGCGGGCAATGGCCTTCACCTCGGTGATGCTTTTGCAGAATGCCGGCAGGTAGCAGACCAACCAAAGTGGCACATTGAAGGTGTTGCCGTCCGAATCAGCCAGGATGGCCGCCGCGAGCCCTCCGAAGTTACGGTCCTTCCAGGCTGCCATGCTCTTAAGCAAGGCCAGAGTCTTGTCGCCGGCCTCAGACATCTCCTTCGTGCTGATATCAGCTTCTAGAGCGGAAGGGTCGATGGCAACATCCGGCTCGCAGAGAAGCAAAGACCGAACTATCGTCTTTACAAAGCCAACCTTCGTGACGGGTTTCAGTGTCTCCACCAAAGCCGTCTCCACCATAAAGTGAAATTTCGAGATGGCCGTTTCCTTGAAGGCAGCAAAGCCTTGCACCGATTCCACTTGCTGCGGAGGCTGCCCAAGCAACTCCACAAGTGCCTGCTGGTGTTCGGGAATATCAGCACAGTCCAGAGGACAGCCCACAAGCAATGCCCGGCAGTTGCTGCGGAGGATGCGTGCCACGTTGTTGTAGATTTCCAACTCTGCCCTCGGCTTCTTGAGACTCTCCACATCCAGCACCTTAGCCAACGTGAGGTCACTCTTTTCCTCGATCTCCTGGCTCAATTCTCTGCACATTCTCTCCATCACGATCACCTTCTGCTCCAACTCACCACCAGCGATCTGGCCCTCCGACACCTCCAGCAGGAACTGGCAGGCCTTGCTCAAGCGATCGCACGCGCTCTCCTCACCCCGCTTGCAGACAGCTTGCGCGTATGCCTGGCGGTGCTTGGGCTTGGAGGGCTTGGATGCGCAAACAACAATGTCCCAACAATGACGTTCAGGAGCTGCAGATCAAACACAAAACCAGGACCAAGCCTTCGATCTACACAGGATGATTGGTTTCTAACGATTTGTTAAAGTTATGATTTGTGTTTTAGTTGTTTCGCTTGGACTCAAGATAAATAACCCAAAGTCAGACTCGCTGCTTCATGATGTGCTGTCGTTTGATAGTTTAACAGTTTGTTTCAACCTTGAACAGCTCGTGATCTGGAGTAAGATGCCCACCATACACAACCATAACACCAACTCGTGCAATGGCATATTAGTTGTTACTTTACCTGCTAGTTTCGACCTAGTCAATGAATCAATGCGGTCATGCATCAGACAATCTAGCGACAAGGGCACTGCACACGTTCACAACAAACTGGCTCGAATAGTGCATTAACTACCGTAGCCGTAACAGAAAAGGCGGTGTAAATGGATAAATAATAGGTAACAGGTATGCAGCAGTTCGCTTTTTTATACGAGATTGTAAATCGCAGCAATATGATAGACTAGATGTTCAGGTTTGGTTCGATACTACTTTCAACCGAAACTCTCTAGACCAGAGACTTGACTGGTGACCAATGACTAATGACCTATTGACTCGACTTGACTATAGCGACAATGGCACATGACCGATGACTCTACTGACTAATAAACAAATAGTTAATCAGTTAATACATAATATTTTAAATTTTACTTATTCATATATATATATATATATATATTATATATATAACATAGTCGACTCTAAGAGTAGAACCCTGTAACCGGACTCTATACAACCGCATTCACTCTCGACTCCAAACTCAACTCTCAAGTTTCATTAGAATTGTATTATACTATTACTATTACTATTATACAATTATTCTAAACCTTATTAGCCTAAACTCGGCCAGACCTAAGACTGGAACCAAACATCATACCCCAGATTCCCTAAGCTGGCCTCAGAGTGGCTTTGCTTGAACTACTCCGGAAAATTTCTAAAACGGAACTTGACCAGCCTGAATCTTCTTGTCGACAAACCCAAGCTTGTCAACCGCACGGGCGATGAACTCCGTGCTGGCAGTCCTCCGGATGTCTGCCATCTCGTCAGCGGCTTTCTCGTACTTCGAACAGAAGGCCAGCAACTGCTCCAAGTACTCGTCGGCCTTGAAGTCGGGCTCCTCCGACACTTTAGTCCTCAGCTCCGTGAGGCGGCTCTCGAGAGCCACGTCTTTGACCCTTCTGTCGTAAGCAAGGGACGCCGCCTCCAAGATTTGGAGGCCGGTGCTGAAGTTGTTGAGGCACTTGTGCAGCTTCAAATCCTTGTTGCAGCGGAAGTCTTGCAGCAACGCTTTGAGGTCATCCAAGGCAAGCACGTCTTGGTTCATGGGGTCCAACAGCGGCTGCAATTTTGTCAGCTCACCTTTGATCGAAGACTCATCCGGCAGGAGGCCTTCCTTCAAGATTGCCTCGAGGAGGGACTTCACAGCCGCGGCTTTGTTGTCCTCTCGGAGGAGTTCGGCAATAAGCCGAATCACCTCCCTGTCCAAGAATGCAAGTCTGACTGCGTCACCCTCGATCAGCGACGCATTGAAACCCTCTCCGGCTCCTCCACCGGCATTCGCACCCAACAAGACCTTCAACTTGTCCACATCGCTGGTCCTGGCAGCAGAATCGATGTCCCGTGAAAGGGCCATCTCCATCAGCTTGGCCGGGATTTTGTAATCCCCTGCAGCTTTCGCTGCCTCCCATATGTCCCGCCCTGTTGACTTCTCATCGTTCAGGGCCGTCACCAGTGCGGTAACACTGGCAAGCGAGGTTTGCAAGGCCCTGAGTTCCTCAAGGACACGCATTCCCGGCGAAGCAGCATTGGCACTGGAGGATGCGGTGGGGTCATAGTTCAAAGTATATACCCCCACCAACGACGGCGTCAGTCGATTCTTCACCTTGTCGGCAACAGTCTGAAGCGCTTTGGTCTTGACCATCTGCAGTCGGTCACTGCACTGCAAGTTCTCTAGGATCTGCTTGCCCTCCAACAGAACCCGCTCCGAGGCTTGCACTTCTTTGGCCACCTTCGCCTCGCTCTTGTTGGCAGGCTTCTCTGGCGACGGGTTAGGGGCATTGTCACCCCCAGGCGCAGGCGCAGGCTTCGGTTTTGGCCTGGGCTTGCCACCACCGTTGCTGCCTCTGCCCTTTCTGCCGCGCCCCTTGCCACCGGCCTTGCCGTCGTCATCATCGCCGGCTCCTGCAGCAAGTACGACTTACGACCTACGAGCTATTACGAGCTGCTTCAACCAAAGAAGGTTCCATTAAGTTTTGCCGCCCCACAACAAGCATGTCACCATGTCAAAATCGACTTCACAAACATCATCTTCAGCAGCAGCATCATGAACCACAACAATAATAACCACTCCGGTGACTAGCATCGCAACTGCTTCTGCGTGTAAATTAACTCCCCCTATACAACCCTTGCCTCCACAGTGCCTTCACTCAACCTTGATCCGCCGTTACACATGCCAGCCTTACATCCCCGAAGCCGTATTAGCCTAAAGCCCCTCAAGCCTGGGGCCTAGGGCCTAAAGTCCTGAAAGCCTGGGCCTCAGCCGAAACCCTAGACCTCAGCCTCAAACCCCTAAGCCCCTAAGCCCTAAGCCCTAAAACCCTTAAAATGTTGAAATCATTGCTCACCCTTTAACTCAAAAGGTTAAACTTCTAAACCCGATGCCCTAGGCCCTAAGCCCCTAAGCTCTAAGCCTTGCCTGAACCCCACTAAAGTCCCAACCCGAAAGCCTTTACTTTACACGTCAAGAACATGGAAGGTTTTAGGTTCTCACAGCTTCAGGCTTCAGGGCTTGAAGCCTGAAGGCTGAGGACGAGGACCTGAGGAGCTTAAAGTTTTAGGGCCTTGGGCTTTGGGGGTCTTATGTTTATAGGCAGGGCTTCGGGCTTCGGAGTTTTTGGTTTTAGGGGTTAAGGACGACTAATATTAAATCTCAATCTAAGTTGCGGCGAAATGAAAGTCGTAATAGTGTTGTTATTCATGGAGTTTTAGGCTTTAGGCTTAGGGCATCAGTCGTCAGTGGTATACAGGTTTCGACGAAACGGCTTCAGGGTTGAGCCCTCATCCACTGAACCCGATGCTGGGCAGCAAACTTGTAAGTTGCCGGCACCGCCGGTACCCGATGGGTCTGAATCCGAATCTAGCTACTAGCTGCTTACTAGCTGCTAGCTACTGAAGATCGGCCTTCATTGCCCAAAATCTGGCTGACCAAGAGACAGGGAGAGCAGCAGAACGGGAGAGAGAAAGACAGAGAGAGAGAGAGAGAGAGAGAGAGAGAGAGAGAGAGAGAGAGAGAGAGAGAGAGAGAGAGAGAGAGAGAGAGAGAGAGAGAGAGAGAGAGAGAGAGAGAGAGAGAGAGAGAGAGAGAGAGAGAGAGAGAGAGAGAGAGAGAGCAAGAGCAAGAGCAAGAGCAACAGCAAGAGAGAGAGTGAGAGAGAGAGTGAGAGAAAGAGAGAGAGAGAGAGAGAGAGAGAGAGAGAGAAAGAGAAACCAAAAAACATAGATAGCAGGGCAGGAATTAATTACAAGCAAGAGCAGCAAGAATTAACAATCCACCTTTAGCTGAAAACTGTGATGAAGTCCTTCGATGCTCAGCATGCCGTAATCAAACTCCATCAGGTCATCAAACTCGTCGACCCTTTTCCGCTTGCCAGCTTGGGCCAGAGTGTGCACCTCTGGGGAATTCTCTGTCTCGGCCTTGGTACGCGTGGCGAAGTTGTGCATGTCACGGGCACGCTCCCAAGCGCCCGTCATCTCCTTCGCATTGATCGCTGTGTTTGCATCGGCCGTTGTGACCACATTCGTTGCTGCCGACTGCTTCACGTCGAAGACTTCGGTGCATCCAGGCTCAAGCCCTTCGGATCTCGGAAGAAGCACTCCTGATAAGCATTGGGTCCCAATTTCCGCCCCGAACCCAATCGACTAAACTAAACCGCCAAGGCCAAGCCTTTAAAATTAGCGTTTCCAAGTCATGAGGCTCAACCGGATAAAGCCACTGAATCACTAGCCTAGTTTGGGCAGCAACTCAGCACCTGTGAGGGAGGTGCCCCCTTGTTTGATCTTGGTGATCTGCTTGGGGTTCGGCTTTTGGCCAAACTTGGACTCATAAACGTTCTCCGGCCACAGGATGCCCAGGCAGGTCCGAAGTTCGAGAGATTGCTGGTCGGTGACCTGCACAACGTGGTCATTGAGCGAATGTTCGGCACCTTGTTGTGGAACATGAGCTCCGGTCTTGCGTCTCTTGGCCAGGGTCTCGTTCTGTTGCTGTTCGTACTTGTGAACATCGGACATGTGATTCTCGTACCTGATATCGCAGAAGGATAGGTCACTCCCGGTACAAGGTACGAGTACGAATCTACGACCCAGGACCTCGGAACCCCGGCCTACGATCAGCGGCTACGGTCCGTGTCTACGGCCTACGCGACCTCAGTTTCAAGAACCGAGCTTCCAATCGTTTTAGACTTTAGACTTTAGACATCTAGATATAGAATCTAATCTAGATTGTAGAATCAGAAATATGGTTTCAGACCTTGAAACATGAGACATTGAATTCTTCTCGTCCAAGACCTAAAACTAAACGACCTAAAGGCTTGAAACTTTAGACGATAGTTGTTGTTAGACGATTAGATTGAGTAGTTTGAGTCTAGAGTCTAGTCCAGAGTTTAGACTCGTTTAGACTCTAATCACCTCGTCACTCTAGCTTATTGGATAGTCTAAGTTTAGAGTTTAGAGGTTTAGAGTCTAGTTTAAAGTCTAGAATTTAAAGCTGCATTAGCCGAAGCAGTTTTTGCCACCAACAACACAAAACACTGACCAAAAAACTAGGCCTGCCAAACTTGGCCCTGATACTCCTCGTCGTTGTCACCTACCTTCTTCTGAAAGTTAGACTTCGACTCGGCCGACAGAAGTGCATCCGGGTTCGTGCGCCTCAAGGTAGCCAGGCAAACCAGGCATTCCTTGTGCCGGTCTGACTTGAAACACAAGCAAGGCTTGTCCGGCTGGTGCTGCGCAAAAGGGTTGGGAAAGTCCCTGGCCCTTCGGCAGAACACACAACCGCGAAACTGCGCCGTGCCCCAAAGTGCCGATGCTTCACTCGACTCGGATGGCAACAACGAAGTGCCTGCCCTCGACATGTCGATGACAAGACTGGGCAAGCTGTCGCAAAGAAGCTCGCTGCTGGAAATGTGAGCTGTGGCCCAGACAATCAACACTCTGAAAGAAATGCGCACTCAAGTACAGGAAAACCTTGAGGTCGCTTGCTCAATGCGTCCTTATTCGATCTTCGACTCTTGATTCTTTAGTCTTCAGTGCTTCTCTATGTAATGAGATCAGCCGGCAGTACAAATGGGGAAAACAAAAATATGAATCCTACGAGATCAGCAGCCAGTACAAATGGGAAAAACAAATATGTGAATCCTACGTTGTGTCAATCTGCTCTTGTCGCTGACTATTCCGAATAGGATTTTGCAGCAGGGTCCCTATAGCAGAGAACTTCTCCCGTTATCGTTGCAGTTGCACACTAGCATCGGAAGGATAGGCGAGAAATGCCCACCAGCAATCGCTAGCAACAACCACGACTGAAGACCGAGAGCCCTGCAACTCGACGCACATCATAGCCCCATCGCAACGTCGGTGCACCTGGGCAGAGCAGTTCTGGAGCAAATAGCAAATGATTGTCAGAAAACGCAGGTCTCACTCGGCAGACTGGTATCAATTCTCATCGTTCTCGTCTATGCACAACTCAAAACATGGCACACCGCTGGCACTACTTGCATGTGTAACTTTGTCCCGAGCACAAACAGCTGTCAAGATCAAAATTTCGGAATGCTCTGGCAGCATGGCCATGGTCAGCTCAAGATGGGCTACTCACGCTAGTCTAGAGTCTATGTCTATGGTCTATGGGGGTCTATGGTCTATGGTATGGTCTATGAGTCTGTGGGTGTAAGTCTACGGTCTATGGAATCTAATCTATATCTGATCTGACCCGATAAGATACAAAGACTACATAGTTACTAATATTAGTTATTTAGTCTTACTTAGTTATTAGTATTAGGTACTAGTCTAGTATTACTAGTGATTACATAGACATAGACATAGACATAGACATAGAGATGTCAGACGGACTCGAGGAAGGAAGGTCAATAGGCAATAGGTTCATTTGGCCGGCCACAGCCATCGCACAGAACTCTAGGGATGCTAGCACAAAACTCTAGGAGGATGATGCAAATCCTCCGCTACTGGCAATCCGTATGCTGCCAGCTCTGAACGACTGCTTAGCCTCAGCCTTCCCAAGCAAAGAGATCCTCCAGGGTGTCCGAACGCAACGGCTTTGATCTTGAGGCTGAAGACTGCACTTGGGCAGGACCTGCACCTGCCACGGGCATGCTCTGCCTTTTGAGGACCACAGCCTTCATCGCAAGATTGGCCTCCACCGCTTTTTTGCATATGAGGGATGCAGCAAAGCAAAAACTGTTGAAGGCATTGCCTGCCAAGTCAGACAAAAACTCCTGCCCCTCCGCATAGTCCATGAGTTTGAACTGCTCGGCACCGTAATGAAGGCCTTGCAGGAGCATCATCTCCATCCCACAGGTCAGTCGCGCTTTCTTCGTGAGGAGGAGTTGGCCCCCCGGTGTTACGGTATCACAAGTGTTGTGCTGGATGGCACGCAGGCCACGAAAGCTCTGGCTCAGTTCGACACCCGCATCGCGGGCGTCTGGGAACTGGATGCCGTAAATCTTGCAGAGGTCAAACTGCCTCTCTGTCAAGGCCATCAGGCCCGGATGACTTTGCAACACTGCATCGGTAGATCTCGATGCCTGCCACCAATCCATTCCTTGCGACTGCATGGCCTTGGCATGCACCTGTGCCCATTTGCGCTTCTTCGTGGAGGGCTTCTGGGCATCCCTCCAAGCGGCTTTTTCCAGCGTGCGCTGGATGTGCTGCTTGACAAAGATCGAGTTCTCTTCAAGCAGGAAGTCATTGAGGGAACGCAGTTGAGGACCTGGGCTAGCACACAACTCATTCATTGTTTGCAAGACCAGTGCGGACACTTCATGCTCCGTCACCATAGCCTCGTCTGCCATCCACTTCGGAATACAGATCATGAACACTCTCTGCCGTGTTACCGGCATTCCAAACAAAGACGGCTTCAAGACCACAGGCACCATGAGGAGGCCAACCTGCTTTGCACGGTGGGCACAGTACTGCAGGTTGTTCCGCCAATGTTCACGTGTCTCTGGGTTCCGCCCCTTGGGCGCATCCAGCAAGCCCATGACATTTTCCAGAATCATCCCACGGAACTTATTCTCGGTGCCCTGTTGCTCTTGCTTCTGCGTGGCCTCAGCAAAGCGCACGGCGTCGTCGAAAACTTTCCCCGTCCGTTTCCCTGCCTGTCTCACCACGGAAACATTGTCAGGTGCTTGACGGTTCAGCTTCGAGACATCCTGGCAAGGAAATCCCATCCACAATTCTTCACACGGCTTCAACTTTTCAATGCTCTCAGTCAAGACGTTGTGTATGCTCGCACCAGGGCCAGCACGCAAGCTGGCCGTATCTTCATAGAGGCTCTTCAAATCTTCGGAGGGGTCTTTCATGCCGGTGAAAAGGTGTCGAATGAATGCCCTTTTCATCGGGTCCTTCTCGCAAGACCACACGTGATCCAGCTGCATTGGTGCCCCAAGCTGCTTCATGGCCAACGCCAGGGCTCTGCCCACCATGATGGGCCCATCAGTCCCGGAGCAAGCTGTAGCAACATGAAGAACGGGATCATGAGTTATCATCGCCAGCAGATCTGCCCGCATGCCATCAGGCAGACCACGCACGGCCTGGCAGCACCAATCCACCAGCTGATCAAACCCATTCTTTTCAAAGCTCCCCTGTAAGTTGTACTTGGGCTGGGCACTGGGGTTTGGGCCTGGGTTTGGGTACAACGCATGGATCGGATCAATCAGTGACTCGTCCAGCTGCTCCATATCTTCTTCATGCTGCCCCTTATCCACGTCACTTTCTGATTCGTTACCACCCTCGTCCTTGTCCGCGCCATCATCGCCATCGCCGTTGCTAGAGCAACGGTCTTCATCAGGCTCCGATAGCTGGGAGCCCGGTGGGGAGTTGGACTCCTTGTCAGCCTGCGTGTCGACAACATTCGGAGAGGGAGTGCCGGTGGCATCAGGATCGGGGTCTGCATCCTCACTGGCGGAGATATGGGACACCGGCATTGTATCAGATTCCATGTCCGCTGCATCAGGCGCAGCGTCTTCGGCCTCGGCCTCAGTCGTGTGATCACATGGCTCCGGCTCCAGCATCGCAACGGCCTTGGCCTTGGCCTTGGTTTTGGCCTTGGCCACCGTTCGAGCAGCAGGCCTACGCATCACCGGCCCTCCACCCGCACGCTTTCCCATGACTGCACGGCGGACACACCGTACAACTTCAGATTAAGAAAAGACGACAAACCATAGGGACCAGCACCTAAGGACCTAAGGACCTTCCCGTGATTCGCTATATCTTCTTATGATTCTTATAACCTATAGCCTATAAGTATAAGCCTATAACTAATCCGTATTAGATAATAGTTAAGTAAATTCTTACAAATAAGACTTGTAACTTACAAAATTACAAGTCAATCTTACATACCTGGACCAATTTCCCAAGTAGTTTCACACCGACGTCGTTGGGCATTCTTAGGAATTGCGTGCATGAACTGAGCGAAGGAGAGCACGGCGAGTCATGCGCTGGCACTCCACTTGGCAAGCTATCAATCCTGTGGCTGAGCGATGCACGATGTTGCGGCAAGCGGCAGCCCGAAGGGTTGCCAACCTGCGGTGGTTTGGGAAGGCCAGCTGAGCTCGGAGTTTGTTACAATTACAAAGGGTGAGATCCGGGGGAACAGCGGCTTTGTGAATTCGTGACTCTATGTTTTCGGCGACTAGGTTGCTGGCTGGGGCCTTGGTTGTGGGTCTTGGAACCTTGGACGTCGGGCCGTAAGTCAGTTTGAGATTCACTGGGGGAGGGGATCTCGCAAAACACTGATCTAAGGCTAAGGCTAACGGCTAAGGCTCAATACGACGAAGGAAAATAGCTCGGCGTCCTCATCACTCTCTGGACTCGATACACTAGCCTCAGAATCTCGACTTTCTGCCCTCTATCGACTCTAAACTCTTGACTCTTAACTCTAGACTAGACTCTACTCTACACTCTAGGAGGATCTAGACTCTAGACTCTCTAGACTCTAGACTCCAGACTCGACTTTATAGATTCTTGATTCTTGATTCTAAGCGGACAAGACCTTAAACTCTAAACTCCGGACTTTAAAGTGAAAACTTTATACTCGACTCTAGACTCTCTATAGACTGTATGTAAGACCAAGACCCAGACTCTAAGACAAAGCCTCAGACTCTGGATAAGAAGCCGGTGCTAGGTACTCGACACTTCTCCAGTGACTCAAATGTACTCTCCAGACTCGAAACCCTTCCCCTTCAACTACGAACGACCCGACCTTCCCGAAACCAAAAAAAGCGAGATTGAGCACAGGGCCACTTGGCCGCCAAGTCCGGCACAGAATGGATAGACCTGTAGGATGGGTAAAGTAGGTTTCGGCTACAAAATTAATGCAATTAAGTACAATTTTACAATTAGTCACAATTACAATAAATACAAGTTACAAGCTGCTTTGCAAGCTGGTTCTACAAGCCGGAGGAGGGACTATAGGCTATAGGCTTTGCAGCTTAAAGTGTCGAATCGAATCCGGGAGTCCAGTCTACCCGACGCCTTTGGAATTGTAGCGTGGGTCGTGAAAAATTACATAGAGGACAAAGCCGCAGCCTGTCAGTCTTGGAAAAAGGCAAGTGCGCGGGGGGGAGGCGGGGAGGGACGGGGAGGGAGGGGGAGGGAGGGGGAGGGAGAGGGAGGGAGGGGAGAAGGTGCGCGCGCGCGCGCAAATTTTAAAAAAAAAGTAGATTGCGAAAATTTAGAACATTTTTCCGGTATAAGTGCGGAGACCGTTGTGGACAAGTGTTTGTGGTGCGGAAAGATTTGCGGAAAAAGTTGTGGACAAATGTTTGTGGTGCGGAAAGATTTGCGGAAAAAGTTGTGGACAAATGTTTGTGGTGCGGAAAGATTTGCGGAAAAAGTTGTGGACAAATGTTTGTGGCGCGGAAAGATTTGCGGAAAAAGTTGTGGACAAATGTTTGTGGTGCGGAAAGATTTGCGGAAAAAGTTGTGGACAAACTTTCTCTGATGCGGAAAGATTTGTGGAAAAACTTTTCTTGATGCGGAAAGATTTGTGGAAAAACTTTTCTTGATGCGGAAAGATTTGCGGAAAGATGTGTGGAAAAACTTTTCTTGATGCGGAAAGATTTGTGGAAAAACTTTTCTTGATGCGGAAAGATTTGCGGAAAGATGTGTGGAAAAAGTTTTCTTGATGCGGAAAGATTTGTGGAAAAGTTGTGGAACAACTTTTCTTGATGCGGAAAGATTTGTGGAAAAACTTTCTGTTGACGCGGAAAGATTTGCGGAAAATGTTGTGGAAACACTGTTGAAACCTGTCGCTTCTAAACTTTTTGGTTTTTCCACATCGTTTTCCGCATTTGTTTCCGCACGAACACAAAAGTTTGTCCACAACGTTTTCCGCATATCTTTCCGCACCAAGAAAACTTTCTCCACAAATCTTTCCGCATCAAGAGAACTTGTTCCACAAAAGTTTCCGCACATCTTTCCGCATCAGAGAAAGTTTTTCCACAATCCTTTCCGCAAATCTTTCCGCATCAAGAAAACTTTTTCCACACATCTTTCCGCAAATCTTTCCGCATCAAGAAAAGTGTTTCCACAAATCTGTCCGCATCAGCAAACGTTTTTTCCACAAAGCTTTCCGCATCAGCGAAAGATTTTCCACAACCTTGTCCTTAAATCTTTCCGCATCAACAAGCGTTTTTCCACTGACCATTCCACAAATCAGCGGTCCGCATCCTGATTTTGCCACGGCTCTTTCCACATATCTTTCCGCAGCAGCGGATTTCTTTCCACGACGTTTTCCACATAAACGAAAAGCTTTTCCACAGCTTGCTTTTCCGTGACAGCAGCAAGTTAGCAAGTTATCTGCGGCAAAACATATGACTGTGCTACTGGTCGCAAATTGTAAGTTGCCACTGTATAAGCCGTAAACTTAAACTTAAACCGTAAACTAACCGCTCCCGATGCTTGCCGCTGCTCAGCGAGAAAGTTGGGGCAGGCTGGCATGGACACGTTTGCGCGGATGCGGAAAGTGCTGCGAGTCTTCCGGTTATGAGAACACTTTCGGAATTCGCGTGTTGGAATATGAACTGAAAAGATTTGTGGACACTCCCTGATTCACGCGATGTTTTCAAGGTGCTCCAACTTTGCCGACACGACACTATTGTGATCGAAAAGATGGTGTGTTGAGTGTGTTGTATGACTCGTTCCGTGGTTATGAGACTGACTAAACTGCTTGGGCTGATTGGACCCAGACTTATTGCACAAGCTGCTGGATGAATCTGGAAGATCAGAGAGCAGCCTACACCCCAGATGCCCCAGATATGAAACCATTATCTTTGCTTTGGACACACACACACACAAACACACCGCACACGTTCGAACAAACCTCATGACACAACTCATGGCTAGTGACCCAAGAATCCCAAGAATTAACAAAACCCATCTCCCTTGAAGTCCTGAGGCCTTAAGTCTTAAGCTTAAGTCTATCTATTGACGCTAGGGTACGACTCGATGTTACAGCTTGCCAGCACCACTGAAATTATCCCAGGCCCAGCACCTTTGTCATATTTATACTCGGGCAAGTGTAGCTACACGATTTCTGCGATGGTGTAAGACAAGGCTTGCGAATTAGAATTTAAAGGCTTAGGCGGCTTGGGCTTAGGATGGCTTACGCTTAGGCCTTAGGCCTTAGGCCCTTAGGGCTTGCCGTGGCTGAGGTTTAGGAAACTTAGGACTGATATTATAGGGTCTGATATGACGATTTGCCGTAAGCCGACTTTAAGTCTTGAGTCCCCGGGCCCAAGGTCCAAGCCCAAGTCCCAAGACTCTCCAAGAAACTAACTTCCAACCCTGCTTGACCAACCACACGTGTTTGGTCGACTGCAATATCGGAAGATGAGCCCCGTGCAATCTGCGCTGCCTGCCGAACACAGCACCGCAGCTCACCTTGACGGAACGGAGGAAAACTCAGATACCGTGGACGTTTGGTTCATACATAACTACATAACATGAATCCCAGCATCGGCTGTCGAACACGTGAGCCCAACCCGCCCAAACACCAGGCCGCTGAAGTCAATCAAGCAAACAAAAGGGGGATCCCTTCCGAAAACCCGAAATATCTCCCGGCAGCCTCAGTGAAGAAGAGGCGCGGCTTGGTCCTCAGAGCGGGAGAATACGAAGTGCACAATTTCACAATTTCACCGCAGCGTGCCCAAAACCTACAGGGCTCTTACAAGGCCCACAAGTCTGAACAAGCGTAGCAGAGCACAAAGCAACTGATGGGGAGATTCTATCTTGCTTCCGGCCTATTCATGCCAATTATATAACTTTTCGACGGACAGAGCTAGCGAACCATAATAACACAGCGACTCGACGGCATAAGTGGCATAAAGCAGAAGTCTCTTTAGTCTTAAAGTTTTAAAGTCTTCAGTATGATAAGCACGTTGCATAAACTGAATCAGCCTCAGCCTCCCGGTGACATTTCAAGTTTAAGTTTAAGCCGGCCTAAGCTTCAATTTTTTAGTTTCAACACTTAAGACTAAGACTTAAGACTTAAGACTTTTTAAGGTTGTGGTTTAGGTTTAGGAACTTCTAGGTTGACGCAGCAGCCACATTCTTGCAAAAGAACAGCAACGAAATGATTCAGCAAAATATTCAGTGCCATCGCAATGTGATAGCTTGGCAGCTTGGCTTAACTCGAACCGAGCTTCACTGTCCTAATATGATGCAAGGCAAAGCCATCCTGCTAAGTCCGGGTCGAAGGCCTGTGCTCCCCAAAGAAGTCATCAAAGTCGAGTCATGCCGCCGCTTTCGGCCTTCGAACTCGAACTGCCCAGTTTCCGGACCTTAAGTTAAGGCTTGCTTCTTGGTGTTGGGCCGCAGTGGCCGTCAAGCCAGCATCAAACCACTTCACCAGGTCCACTTCGATATCATGCAACGTCGGTGCACGCTGCAACCGCACAGAAACAGCACGTAGCCTCTCTGATCCCGCCGGCGGATAAGAAATCATGCAAACACAACTCCGGTGCAACTTGCAGGTCGCCTTCAAAGTGTCGACACCAATCTGGTGCAATCTTCCCACTTCAGCATTGTCGGACTTTCGCCTGAAATTCCAGCAGCCAACATCCTGTATCTCACAGGCACGTGCACCTGCGACTTCCGTAGCAGAGGGCTCGGATGGCACTGGCACTGGTCCTTCCGAAACACCAACAACTGCATCCCCTGGTCGGAGACCATCCCCGGCTTCGGCACCGGCCTCATCTGGCACGACCTCTGCAACACCGCCTTCATGCAAGGCATCTTCGTCTCCAATGTTTTCCAGCCCCTGCAAAACAGGCTCGGCATCTGCATCTCGAACCGGTTCCGACTCCGCATCAGAGCCGGCAGTCTGGGGCCGATCTTCGATGGCAACGAATGGTCTCCGCCTTCTCCTCACGGGCGCTCGAATGTCATCGAGCAAATCGAAGTCGTCCGAACGATCTCTGGGCGCTCGACGGCACTGCTGCGCAGGCTCATTTTCACTTTGTGCATCAAAGGCTGCTCCCAGCTCAACGATCCGATGCCGGTCAAGGCGTGGAGCCGCATCGTCGAGGGTCCACTTCAGCAGAGTCAGACGAACATGCCCCACAGGTTTATCGTCGACGAAACACAACCGAGCAGCCAAGGCATCTTCCGACAGCCATCTCAGCCTCAATATTTCAGTATACAGGTCTCAAGTCACAAGCTAACAATGTTAGAGTACATGGCATAACATATGGCACAATATCGTTTCGCACAACACTCTTGCGACTTCAGTCTTGAATAATGAAACCGTCGGTTGAGTAGCCACCACATCATTCATGAACTTGGAGAATCTGTGCTAAGTCAAGCCGGCTAAGTCTAAGTCTAAGTCTTACTAAGTCCTCCGCACCCAAACCAATAGGTTCAACTGAACTGTTGAACTCTTCAACTGCTCAACACTTGAATCGAATGAGGTTAAGACAAGGCTAGGTTGATTTAGGGTTAGAAACAAAACTACCATTGGGACTGCAGGTGGCTTTCCCACCGATGCCTGGCATATGGGCCGCCGACCCGGCTTGTGGGGGGCCTTGTACTGGTCATAGCAGCACTGCAACACGACGCCGACGGCTGAAGATGCTGATGCCTCGGTCGCCGAGTCAAGCCGGTATGCCGGGATTGCAGCTTGAGCTTGCTTCAACTTACAAGAGTAACAAGCATCGGAAACCAGTGTCTGCCATTTCGAGGACTGTAACTAACAAGCAAAGGCATAAATATGATTCGATTTGGCTATGATGTGTCACGCACCTGAGCCTTGGTATAAATGGAGAAACTGACAAACTTTCAGGCAGGACCGGAGCTTTACAACTACTCAAACCGGAAAGGCAAAGGAACATACACTTTGTCCACTGATTACAGTCAGTAATAAACAGTAATAACATACAGGCATACAGGCAAGGTGGCACACGCAGTGTCTGGCTGCAACTGAACCAAGTTGATTTGTGCAGGGTGGTGGGCCTGCCGTCCGCTTGCTGAAGCGACTGCATAAAACGTTACACGCGACGGGTGCGCCGGAAGATTTGGCCCGGCCGGGTCCCTGTCGACATAGCACTCTGCAGCAAGACATATGTTGGCTGCTGGAACATGCTTTGCCCATCCTTTGGTTCTTGCACACCCGCTCTGCACAGCTGTCTTCAGCAACTCCACCAGTCGATCATGAAACAAGACAGATCGTCTCGTGTTCTGATTCCGGCACAGCTCTCCACAACAAGCGGGGTACTCAACCCTGTCAGGCATCTCAGCTTCTGACACGAAGCGGGTGGCTCGCTTACAAAAGCCGCTGATCTCGTGCGACAGAATCACTTTTCGGCTGAACCACCGCTCCCGCAGGTCTTCGGGTCGCAAAGGCAAAGACTCCATCTGCGCAACTTGGGACGGGCTGTTGATTGCCCGACCTGAAGCTTGGTCCACCAGCGGTGCTTTGAAGCTTTGGCAAGTCACATGCTTTGGAAACGGTGGTTGGGTAGTATCCGGTGCGCCGTCGGCCTGCCCAAGACGTTTCATCATCGCTTTCCACCCATCTTCACGAGACTGATCTTCCTGGGGCGGGGCCTGGGCAGCAACAATCTGCAAGTCGGATGGTGCCTGCGATGTCTTTTGCTGAAGACGCTGGCGGGCTGCGGTCAATTCAGAAGCCCACTTCCGATTCTTGAGCTCATCAAGTCGTGCCGGCGACAAAGCTTCGAAAGCTGCCTTGCAGGCATCCCATGATTCTTTGCTTGCCGGATTGAAAGGTTTGCCCGAGGCTCGCTGGCCCTTTATCCAATCGAAACGAAAGAGCTCAAACACACTCCAGGCTTTGGGACGTGAAGTGCGGCCCTGCGTGGCATCCGAAAGACTCCTGGCGCGCTTCCGTGCTGTGACAAGCCCGTCCTGAGTCAAGCCGGGAAATTCGGCCCAACCGCTACAGCTACTAACTGCTAGTATAACTAATACTTTTATCACTTTTATCATTCATAATTGGTGATTATAGTCGTTCTGTTGATTATTGCTATCACATTTATGTGGTGCAGTGAGTCTAACAGTGTTCTTATTCTGACCCGTACTATGATTTGGTATGATATAATGTTGTAATTTTGTACATGGTCGACATTTTTTATTATACGTCTGGCTATTATTCACTATTTGGATTGGCATTATTGTTTATTTGTAGTACTGCTACTTCATTAATATTCCTATTGCTGTTATTATCCTATGCCTATGCTATGCTATTTGGAGTTCGGTAACACATGAAAAGTACTGTTATCTATCATCTGTCCATACAAGAAGCACCAAAGTAGTTCACTGATATTTGAAGCATAATAGTCTAAGCTATTATATTAGGTCTTATTCAGTTCTTAAGTCTTAATTCTTAAGTCTTAGTCATAGTCATAGTCATTAAGTAAGTGGTTAAGTGGTCTACTGATCTGTGATACACCATACTGCCATATAAATACACTATAACAACATCTTCCTGCAGTTTACATCATGATCTGCAAATGCACTACTGTAAAATATCAAGTGAAGTCCTCCATTCTTGCAATTTAGTAAGGCTTAGTAGCCTTAGTAAGTAAGGCCACTTGGGCCGGGTATACCTGCTATGTATTGATATGATTTACGAATAGAACAGTTATATATGACTTAGCTAGGCTTTGCAGCTTTAGCTGGGTAGTGACCATGAATACGAAGTGGACTTCCAGATTCTAGACTTCAACATTATTCTACATGCCAAGAGCCATAGATCATAGCCGTAGACTCCAGACTAGACCCTGAAGGTACCACGCGGGAGTACGTTGGTTAATTGATCTGGAAAACGTATAACTTATGTAACTATATATAATATATATAACTATATATAATATATATAAGTTATATAACGACTTCATAACTATATATTTATATATTGTATATTTATATAATAATTAATAAAACAATATATCGGAAAACAAACAAACATACAACTAAACCACAAACCGACGAAGCAACCCAACTACCTGTCGATCTTGCACTCTGAGCACAGCCTGATTGAGCATTGGCTGCACGGGCACAGTCAGGGCGGCAGCCCGTCGTTTGCGTTCGTCTTCCAAGCGTTCAGTTGCACTGGCCTGATGTCGGGCCTCCTGCAGAATGGAGGTGGCTGTGAAAGTATGAAAAGGCATGGAAGGGTTCGCAGACCGCTTGTGGCGGGCATGTCGTTGCTCCACGGCTGCGATCCTGGGGTCGGCGGACGCAAGAGCTAGGATCGAGGTTGAGGGTTATTGTTAGCCTTAGGGCCGGGCCCTGGGCCCCTAGTTGTGTTTAAGCTTTTTAAGCGTGAAACTCTTCACAAACTCCGAAGCCGAGGCTGCTCCCTTTTACAAGCCGAACAACACCTGGAAACCCAGGCTGAATTGTTGCGGGGTATGGGTTAGCTAGCTGAGCTAGCTACTTTTCTTCAAACCCAACTAGCGAACGAACTAACTATGAAAGCAAAAAAGTGAATGAGAAACAGAAATCGTTTAGATTCCTTAGTCATTAGTCTCTATGTCTTTATGATGTTTAGTCAGTTTTTTATTTAGATTTTCAGTTTCGCCATACTGATTCATTAGAATCGCTTTGGCTCGAGTTGTCGAAGCAACTACTGAAAGTCTGAAAGTATCACAAACCCGGTGTCGACAGCTTTATGATGAGGGAGGACAGAAGGAACATCCACCTCCACGACAACAGGTCGCCCAGAAAATCTTGTTCCGAAAGCATTTCTCTCAGTTCCCTCGCGAAGCCGGCAGGAAGGCAACAAGAGGGTGTAGCAAAGAAACGCTTGCAAATCTCGGGATGATCTTCGATGCGCCTGCAGTCAGCCAGGGCAAACAACTGCCATGGCTGCCGGTCCAGATTGCCCGCAAAGCGTTGCTGTAGTTCCGTTGCGTTCATGAGAATCTTGGAGCGCGCAGAAAGGGCCTCCTGCTGATTGTCGCGAATCCAGGCTTGCAGGTCACTGTCCCCGGAAAGGTTCACCAACAGTCGAAGTCGAGAAGCTTTGCCTTGCAGGCATGTGGCATAATACTGCATCACGGCATGGTTCTTCGATGTCCGTGGCCAAAGCTCCGAGAGAAGTTTCGGCCATGCTTGTGAATCACAGGCGGTGTGTGCGAATTTGAGGTACGTATCGTGTATATGCCGCAGTGGTTCAGTGGTGATAGCAAGGAGAACACGTTCAAATCGTTCCTGCGCCGATGACATCATTTGCTTGAACCGGGCGAAGCGTCGGCCTGCTAAAGCGTGCCAGTTCACTTTGTCATCCAGGGCAGGATCCCGATCAGGAGCAGGCTCACACTGGCTTACCTGCTGCGCCCATTGAGCTGCATCCAGCAGCCGCTCCAACAGACCGTTGAAGTCGCAGCCCAAAAAAAAGTCAAGACACGGGCCGAGTTTGGACCAATCGCTCATCAATGGAACTGTGGGAATGAGACGGAACAATACCTTCATGATCGCCCAAGTGGCTTTTTGCTCCGCATCATGTCTGCTAGAGCAGCAACTGTTGGTGCAAACGTGGACAAAGAGACCACGTGTGAAGGAAGCATCCGCGCCGTTGAGCACCCTGCAGAAGCAATGTTCAAGCTCAGCCGCCAGTCGCTGCTGCCCAATGCTCGACCTGACGCCTGAAAGACACATGACTGGCACCGACTCGTGTACACCGCCTTAATGAATGAATGCCTTATATTATATTTTATACCGTAATACGTTATACATCTGACTTATATATGCTGTGCATGCTTGAACCGGGTCTACACCGCATATTTTCGTACCTTATACTCGTATGCTATACTACTGTACTATACTATACCATGCCATACCATATATCATAATATATCATAGTCATATAAATATAATCATATGAGTCATATGAACCATATACCTGGACCTATACTAATACTATACCTACACCTACACCTATGCAGCCGATACCGACATTCTCCGATATTCTTATATTGCATAGATCGAGAACCTAGATGCCACTATATACAGTCTACTCTACAGCTCTACAGTATATAGTAATACGGTAATACAGTGAATACAGTATACGACTTATACTAGGCTGGGCCTACGCCTATACTATACCATGCCATACTATCTACACACCCTGGACACATCAAGCATCATTCATCATCGTCATCATCAATATCATCAAGGACCAAGGATGAAGAACATTGGAGCGTCATCAAGCGAATCAACTATTGAAACCGCGAGAGTAGCAAGGCTTCCAAAGCTGCGGAGACGTTGTTGGTTCAAAGCCTAACTCTGAGACCTTGAGGTCGATGATTCTGGTTCTATCATTGCATGCTCAACTAATACCTGAAAGATGGAGAATTCCAGAGCCCATGTCCTGTTAAAGTACATGTCTCATGACTCAATGGCGGTTTGCCTTGGGTTAAACCACCGCTCGACAAGATTGCAGGCCCTAGCTTAGGCCTTGCCCAGGATCTGCTGCCATTTGCCTTTCATGATGGCGAAGGTTGTCTTGCAAATACGAACACAACTCTTGCCGGAACGCTTGACCCCGGGCACGATCTTGGGGCGTTGGGTTGGGAACCCATCTCAAGAATGTCTCGTCCTGCACAAGTTGTCGCACCGACACCAGCAATCTCAGGAAATGTCCTCCCATGCGCAGCCAGAGGCTGGCGCAAAAAAGGTTTTGAAGCAAGCGACCTCCGCTGTCAGCGGCCTTCGGACACTGCTCCACTGCATCACACATCACCAAATGGACCTGGTGATTGCCGCATTTGACCCATTCAGTGAAGATCGGCCTCTGGCCTTCTGCTCGCTGCTTCACAAGATTGTACTGGTGGAAGTGCAATTTTTCGTTCGCCAGATGGGCATCCGCTTCGTGTACAACGAAACGCAGCCTGCTGCAATCCAACAGTTCCTCAACTATGCTCATGATCTGTTTGTTCATGGGGTGGCTACGCAGCCCGCTGCTGATGGCAGCTGAAGAGTTTGTGGGAAGAGGCACCGGCGCCAAAACGCACTCGCGGTACAGCTTCAAGTTACTCCTGCCCGGGCCGCCTATGAAGCCGATGCAAAAATGAACTCTTGCGACGAGGACCTGCCAGCTGGAGCGTTGCTGGTGAGCTCCACTGCCATGGACTGCAGGAAGGGCCAGGGTTTGCGATGTTTCGTCCCACATCAGCGCGACGGTCGCCATATCTGGTTTGGCTGCTTTTGCCCACTCCAAGAACTCAGTAAGCAACTTCAGCTGCACCTCCATAAACGTCAGGCTTGTCAAAATCAAGCATCTGATGATTGATTGCCTCGAAACGTTATACGCATCCGCCAAAGCGTGTCTGTTGTGGCGTTTGTCAAAACCTATCCGAATCATCTCGCTCGGAGTCAATTAATTTGTTCCTGACCACTGTCTTTCGCTCCCGCAGTCTCAACACCACGGAAGCCGCCCAGCCGGCTTTCGGCTTCTGCAGTTTAGAAGTCCGGAACTGATGCGCACGAGATGAGGCCAAAGAATTATGCGCATCAGCAAACTTCACTAAAGCTTCACCGTTAGCCTCCAAAGTCCTCTGTTGTTTCTTGCGCAGCTTAGCCAACCTGCCCGTAGCTGCCAAGAGACACTGTTGACTGTACGTTCGATCTTTGGCAGATCCTTTGCCAAACGCTGATTCCTGCAAGGGAAAGAACGGTAAAGGTAGCAACGCCCGTCTGATGGTTGTGAAATGGCCTTAACTTTTGAAGCCTCAGGATTTAGGAGTGGCTAGCGGCTAGCAACTAGTAACTTAACTAGGCCCTAGGACCCTAGGAACTAGCAGGAGCCGAACCAATCACTAACCAGTCAAGTGACAACCTAAGCCCTAAGCCTAAGCCTTAGCCGCCTTAGCCTGAGCCTAAGCTAAAGTGATCAATCATACCAAATATCAAACACCTGTTATACTGGCCCAGTCAGATGGAAACTCTGACCATTCTGCGGTTCTGCTGTTGTGTTTTATGCTACTTGGGGGACGCCGGCTTCCGACTTGCAACCACCGTCAGCCCGAGAACACAAGGACCCGGTATGGCAATATGGCAATATTATTGACGTCTGTGTCATCACCTGTCGCGGCTCTTTACACGCCTGGTCTAGTGTATCATCTATTCAAAAGACCTGGTTAAGAAGGCTTCGCCTCGCCTTGGCGACAGCGCTGTCGTCCACGTCGAACCCATCCGACAGGTCAATCTCGCCAACCTGGGTACTTGCGCAGAATAGATTACTAAAACTAGACTAAAAGCCACAACTTCTGTTTCATTTTCAAAAACATGATACAACGTGAGGGCATCAAGAGGGGCGAGGACTTGTCTAGGGTCTGAGGCAAATTGCCTTGCGTAGGTTTCATATTATTCATGCTGTGATAAAGGGTTTTTGGAAAGCACAGGAAGGGTCTAGTTGCATGACTTGCAAACACCAGTTCGGTGGAAGATAAAGGCAGCTTGCAAGATATGCCGAGTCTCCCAAAGAATAGGTTTCCTTGCGATAATGAGTGGACCAATTGTGAAAGCCGGACTAGCTACCCCTGCTGCAAACAGTCAAGAGTTGACACTCTCAAGCCTAATTAAACTGGTGCGGGATTTGAGCTATCCTCGGCGAGGGTCACACGTCTAGATTTTACATCTTAAGATTCTTAAGTAAACTCGTAGAGTCGTAGAGTGTATAGTCGAGTCTAGACTGACTCTAGAGTCTAGAGAATCTAGAGTCTAGACTCGTCTAGAGTGCCTAGGTAGATCAATATTATTTAATAATTTAATAATATTGATTTATCACGGAACAAAAAATCCGGGATTTAGTAACTTAGTATAGCAGCCAGAGTCAGCAACGCCGCTTTTGTGGTGGCTTCATCAGGCGAAGTCAGTACTCCGACATAACAGATTTGACAAACAATTCCTCAGTACGCTGCCGCCGCCTGCTAGCCAGCCACTACCTGTAGCCCGACGCCTACCGAAACAGAATCTCAGGCCAGGTTGGCAGTCTGCAGGTCTGATGAAAAAACCATCCCTACTTCTGCTCCGAAATCACCGACGGTCTCACGAAAATCTCTCCGTCCTTAATGACAATGTCGGTGTCCTGTTCGAAGCGCTGAATAGTCAGCCCTGTGTCTGAGGAAGCAATGTCAAGACGCTCGAAGTCTTTCTTGAAATCGCCTGACTTCGTCGTTGTCTTAGCGCTGGCTGCTGGTTTGGTCTTCTCGGAGTTCGACGAAGCACTGTCAACACCTTCATGGTCAGTCGTGCTGACTGAGCGAAGCGTGAAGTCCTCATCGAAAGTGAGCACAGTCAGCCCTGTCTGCGACGACGAAATGTTTGCACACTCATGGCCGCCTAGATTGATGGTTTTCTTGCTGGCTGTCTTCTTGCTCTCCGTGCTCTTGGCTAGGAAGCCTTTTCGCAAGCCGGAGCCCCAAGCATCAGCCATCAGGACAGCGGACGAGGTCTAAAACACAAAGAGTCTTCAACTAAATCTCAATGAAGACTTGGCGGCTTGGGCAGGAATGACGATTTACAGTCGCAGCCAAAGACTGAAAATTGGTCGCCATCTTGGTTTCACCGGTTCCGGCGTGTTACGAGTGACTTGCCTGTGCTAACAAAGCCAAGATTCCCCAGCACCGGGAGGAGGATCATCATCAGCAGTCGGACCGTCACTGCCGACATTCTGCGGTTCATCCTCGGATAAGTTACAAGCCGAATAGGATCTAGATGACTCAGATGACGACATGATTCCGGACTTATCCGACGCGTGCACATAGCAGGTGAGAAACTGACAACTTTCTAGCATCCTGGTCCGATTGCTTCAAGGAAACCCGGTGTTTGCTACAGCCTGGAGGTGCTTTTGCTTCTAGGCTCCGGAAACATTAGACCTTTGGTCGCCTTTTGCAATTGCGGAAACTCACAGAAATCCCGCAGATGCCATGCAAAAGAGGCACCCACATCTCCAAAAGATCTGCCGCATCTCCAGCATCATCCTCTGCCTTGGACACGCCAAAAACAACTGGCCACCCGGAAACTATACGAATTTGGCTAAGTTTGCTAATGACTCACTGACTAGCCAGCACATGGCTCGCGCCATACGTTATGACAGCACCTCGCTACCCGAAGCGACACTGCATGAGCATGGTCAGGCAGCATGGTTGGCTCTGATGCATTGAACTGAAAATGAACTACAACACTAAAGGTTCATTTTCCCAATCATTTTGGTACATATACTACTCATGGTCCCATGGTCCACGATAGTTGTGCCGCGCCTCTGCATGGGCCGATGAGGCAGCGCTTCGATGAGCTGCCGCAGGGTCCTCCATGACCGTGCACTTTACAAGACAGGTCGTTGACTGGCGGGCCACATTCAAGGACAACGACAAGTTATTATGCGTTCTCAGTAAGAATACTGTGAGTTTGCTGAGCAATGCAGAACAGAGTAAGAAGGCGCTCACCTCTTTTTTACTCGCGAAGGATGCTTGAAGTCGATGCGAGGCAATGCGATGCCCAGTAACGGGAGGAGCGGGGCAATGCGTTGCCGAGCTCTTTTCCCCCAGGGTTGTGGAGGGTGGGTGAAAAAGCTAAAATCGGAAGCGATCCGGGTCGACAGCTTGAGCTAGCAGTGCGGCGCAAGGCGAAGCAATGCAAGCTCAAGTACTTACCGAAAACACTGTCGACCAAAACAACAAACTCACGACAAGCGTTCTCAGTAAGAATACTGTGAGTTTGCTGAGCAATGCAGAACAGAGTAAGAAGGCGCTCACCTCTTTTTTACTCGCGAAGGATGCTTGAAGTCGATGCGAGGCAATGCGATGCCCAGTAACGGGAGGAGCGGGGCAATGCGTTGCCGAGCTCTTTTCCCCCTCTTTAGTTCGACTTCAGCATCCTCTGCCTCGCGGGCTCAGAATCCCCCCTCGCATGAGGATGTAGAAGGAGACCTGTCGAGGCGGACAAGGAGAAGCAGTAAAAAAGTGCCAGAGCACAGGGCGTGCGAGTGGCAGAGCTCTGATGCAGAGTTTTTTTCTCGGTTCACGAGCGGTGAGCAAATCAACGCAGTAGGCTGCGCTGTGCCTCGCAGAGGCGAGGGGGGAAGGTGTTCTCCTCCCCTCGAAGTGAAACTGTGTGCGAAGCAGATGCGAGCTGTGCTAGGCTGATGCGAACGCGTTCGGCACTGCGGTGCTTAATGAATGCCAGGCGTCCGCGGCTGAGGGCGTCAGCCCACGAGTTCTTTTCGCCGGCCAAGTGCTCGACTTGGAACTGTACACGGTGCAGGTGCGCCCAGGTGGCGGCAAGGCGCAAGAAGGTGCTGAGCGGTTCTGTTGTCGTAAAAAGGCGGTTGACGCCACTCTCAGCAGAGGTGTTGTCGCTGGCGCTGGGAAGGACAAAGCGCGTGTGTTTGTGCCGAAGGAGAGCCCATGAGCAATGGGCGAGTGCGAGCTGTGCCAATGCCTCAAAGCATGCTATGTAGCTTTGCATGGAGCCGTGCAGTTGAGGCCACTCGGCTCGGACTTCGTCGGCAGTAAAGATCTCGCTGTACCAAACAAAGTGCGAGGAAGTGCTGAGCCAGCCGCCGATGCCCATTCGGTCAGTGTCGGCAAAGGCATCCGCGGCACTCATGCAGGGCGCGACGGGAGGAGTGCGGAGGCTGCGTGGTTGCTCGTGTTTAAAGCAAAGCTCGAGCCAGGCGAGGCAGAATTTACTGTCTTGTTTGAGGTGAATCTCTGTGCGATTAGGGTCAGCAAGGCGGACCCACTGGCGCTTGTGGGAGGGCGGCACGCGGGGCACGTCAGACTTAGAGTGAATTTTAATAGAGCCCACCTCAAGAAGCTGTGCATTGCGAGGCAGCCAGGAGCCAAGAGGCGTGGAAGAAAGCTTGGCGGTGTTATCAAGGCACTCGTAGAAGGGCGCCCAAGCCTGCGGGGCGATGCTGTGGAGGGTTCCGGCACTGCTATGCAAGTCTTTATAAAGGCATGACATGAAGGAGCGCATGTGCGGGCTGAGAGTGGTAGCCCAGTTGAGCAGTCCAAGGCATGCTTCCAGGTCCTTCTTTAGGATTTTGGAGGCAGTGCGAAGCTTGCGGAGCTGTTGGCGGAGTTTTTCCAGTTTGCTCTGGACCAAGGCGACGGTTTCTGTGCGGAAACAAAAGGTCCAGCCGCACCAAGTGATTTGATCGCCGAGCTGTGCCTTTTTCCAGCTGATGGGTGCGTGGAGCGCGGCGAGCAGTGCAACGATAAGGGCGACCGGCTGGTCTAGCTTGTCACGCAGGAGCGTGGCGAGGATGTCGTCAACATAGAGCCAGGCTTTGTGCGGGTATTTGCAGAGCAGTGAATGCAGGATGCGCAGGATAAGGGATCCTGTCCGTTGCCACCAGTATGCAGAAAAGCGGGCGCCGAAATGGCACACGGTGTAGTGATAAAGCTTGTCAGCAATGCGAAAAAGCAGAGTGCCCTGCTCTGCGGGGCGAACTTTTTGTGCCTTATGTGCCGCTTTAAAGTCTAAGGAGAGGCCTTGCAGACGAGCAAAAGGATCGGAGGCGAAGAAAGTGCGTTGCACATCGAGGGCGCTTGGCATGGATACGCGCTCCGGTAAGTGCACAGAAGGGTTTAACCCACAAACCGAACTATCTAGTACTAGGCGGGGATCTTTGCCGTCTGCATGAACTATATTAAGTTTGCCGATAGCGGTGCCTAGCGGCCAGTGCTTTGCGGCATCTTCTGCGGAGCCGTGGAAAGGCGCGACGTGTCCCGCCGAAATTTCCTGGTCCACCAGCTGCTGAAGCAAGGTGGGATCGCGTTCAGCGGCGGTCCAATTTCCCGCGCAGTGCTCAAGGCGGTGCGGGTCAAGATCAGACGACGTATCAATGTTTTGCGGTGCGGAAGGCCAGAGGCCGCTGGGCGGCAGCGGTGAGAAAGCGCCTGTGGGCACGCCTTCTTTGAGAATTGGCACGAGGCCGGTGTCAGGATCGTCAATGGCGCGCGCGAGCATTTCAAGGATCTCGAGGCGAAAAGGCTGGCCTGGTTCAATGCGTAGAGCTTCGGATGCGGGCATGTGCCGGGCAAGGTGGAGTCTAATGATTTCTGCAAGCACGGAACGATGTTGTTCCGAGAGGGGCGGCTCTGGCAGACCCGCGTGCAGGTGAGCAAGGATGGGCTTAAGAAGTTGTTCTTGACGCAGATATTCCAGCATGGATTGCGCAACCGTAGCTAGAGGGGTGCTGGGCTTATTGGTGCAATGCATGTGGTCAGCGGAGCTGACGTTGCCCGCACCGTCGCAAACAGGAGAGCGTTTGCAGTGGAAAGTGGATGCTCCTAGGCTGTGCAGAGCGTGCAGGGGCAAAGGAGCCGAAGGCGACTGTGACGTCACATCTGTGGTGCAGAGGGAAGCCAAGGAATGCAAATCTGGGATGCCGTCCGATTGCAGTTTGCTGTGCAGGGAACAGCTAACCCCGAGGAGCATGCGATGAGGCGAGCGCGTCCATGTGCACGTGGCTGCGAGTTCTTGGGCAAGTTGAAGGTACATGTCGAAAATGTCTTCCGTAGAGGGCTGCGGAAATGCAAAGATGACATGTGCACCTTGAAGGTGGGCAGCGCGATGCAGGGCGCAGAGACTGCGATGGAAAGATGCTGAATAGGAACTGGTGTCGCCAAGAATGCATAGCACTGCGAGGATGCCAGACCAAGCCGCTCCCTGCATGGAGGCTAAGATGTCCGGATGCCAATGACCTTCCGTGGTTTGCAAAGCAGGTGGAGAAGCGAATCGGTGCAGGGACTGATTGATTGGCTTGGCATCCTGGAAAAGGTCCGGCGGCCAATAGAGGAGATAGCGGGCTGGGGGGGTGCAAGTGGAGGCAGCTGAGGTTGGAGCGGGGCCACCGGAGTCACTGTCAGCAGATTCTGAAGCCTCACTGGCCGACGAGTTGCTGTGCTGTGGGGAAGGCTGGGCAGGTTTGTGAGCGAGGGCAGGCGAGGCCGGGCAGGGTGGCTTAGCAACCTGAGCCTTAGGGGGGCTGCGGGACCTAGAACCACTAGGTCACTAGGTGAGGTGCAGGGGGAGGCTGAGCAGGATGCGCAGGAGCGCGAGAGAGGCGAGAGGCTGCGCTTGTTCCGGGCTGCGGGCAAGAGATTGCTCCCGGATGCGATCTCCTGCGGTTCTCAAGACGGACTGGGCTTTTCTACTTTGTGGTTGCAGGCTGCGTGATTTTTTCCGCAAGGCTGGCCGGAGGGCAATTTAAATGCGCACTTGTGTTCAAACTTGCAGTTCTTGTTTGTGCAATTGCCCTTGTTGAAGCGGATGCAGAGAGTCTTGTCGCCAAGTTTGGTGGCGAGCGGTGCGGTTTGCTGGTTGCCTGAGTTGGGAGTGCGGGGCTGTTTGCCGGGCTGACGCACTCCTTTGCCGTTTGCTTTGCCGCCTTTACCGCGGATGCGGTCTTCCCTGGTGGGGCGG